TATTAGGCTTCATCATCATCTCATTATCTATTGTTCAAATTACGTTCGACGCGACCAAAATGCACCGTATAATTGACTAGCATACACCCTTACTGAATACCGTTTGCATAACGAATTAAGACTACAGCGTAATATGGCAAGATAATATTCCCTGCATGTTTATACGCGTAAAAATATTAACACGTAGAAACACTGTACAGGGTGTCCCAAAAAAAAGCAACCACTTAAATATGCAGAACATTAATATAGCTCTAAAGCGCAATAGATAAGCACCTCTGGGAATTGAAAATGGCTCTTAATCCTTCATTTACAATGCTAAAAGTAATTTTAGCTGAACTATGGTGCAAACCCGAACAATATTATTATTCTTGCATATTTAAGTGGTTTCGTTTTTTTTTGGGACACCCTGTAGAAATATTCCTATTGTTATATTTTGTATGCCTGAGCGCTATGCTATATACACACATGCATAGACATTTGGTTTTGAATTTTAAATAACTCATACTGTCATACATTACAATAAAAGTGCACTTTCAGTAAAATCATAGTGAGTATTTGCAGTATGAACACAGTAGAATTTCATTAAATTCTCTTGGCAAAATCGAAGAATCGTCGAAACAATTCTAAATCCACGCTTCTCAACACTTGTTTTTAAAAATGAATTACCATCTTATTATCTGAATTGCATTCGACATGACCAAAATGCGACGTATAAACCAGTCCTCAGTTAGTTCGGTTAAAATCTAAACTCTGGGCGGACTGTACGTTTTTCCCGTGCATACTGATTATGGCCTTGGTAGCCAATCATGGAAACTACAAATATACAAACCAACCGCACAGAAGGGGCTGAAGGCAACACTAAAGGCCCTGTGCATAATAGAGTAAAACGTGAGTGGACGAAAGAGGTTAACAAACTACTTACGGAATGTTACCTTCGGAGTGAATCAACGAAACGAGGATCCAGAAAGCGTATGTTGGCTATTTGGAATGAACGAGGGGTGTTTATATATAGTGCTAGGGAACACTGACGATTGGCTGGGCAAGCAAGATGTATCAAGAACAGAGGGTGGTTACCAACAGTGGAAATTGACGAAATACAGTGTGCAATTGACAATGAAGGTGAAAATGGAATGCAGCCAATGGAAGTGGAGGAATTGGAATTGAATGGATAAATAAAATATGCAATATCAGGAGACAGACAGACTACTTACGGAATGTTACCTTCGGAGTGAACCAACGAAACGAGGATCCAGAAAGCGTATGTTGGCTATTTGGAATGAACGAGGGGTGTTTATATATAGTGCTAGGGAACACTGACGATTGCCTGGGCAAGCAAGATGTATCAAGAACAGAGGGTGGTTACCAACAGTGGAAATTGACGAAATACAGTGTGCAATTGACAATGAAGGTGAAAATGGAATGCAGCCAATGGAAGTGGAGGAATTGGAATTGAATGGATAAATAAAATATGCAATATCAAAAGACAGAAACACAGCAAGAGGAAGTTAAAACTGAAGCCCAAGAAGTAGATCAGGTTCATAGGACATTAGATCAAGAATTAGACAAGGAAGAAAAACACATCTTAAGATATAAAGACTAGAAATACATGCATGCAAAATCCCCTCACGTAAAGCGATAAACATATATTTCCATCACTGCACAATTTGCACAATTCAATTAACATCACAAAAGCTTAATGCATAGTTTTTGGAAATGAATTATTTTTAACTAATTAATTTAATTAATTTTTAAAGAAATTATACATTATGGTATTCTGGCATCCTTATTATAAATGTTGACATTCGTAACAAGAATTGGCGCATATATTTTAATCAAATGCATTAAATTTTTACGCAAAAAGCTCTTTTTGAAGAGTGGGCAATGCAAATTAAGAGGAGATTTTTTAGAAAATCGCGTATTTTTGCACAAAATCGCTCAAAACTTAGCAACCAGGCCTTCGCTAAAATATGCTTTGCAGCCATTTTGAATTTACAAGTTTGGTAAAGTTTTCGTGTTGAGTGACGGGTCAGGTAGCACGTCTCGCAATGTCCTACCTGATTGGTCGAAACAAGTGTTCCGGTTTCGAGGGTTTCAAATTAGCCACTTCCGGTTTCGAATATTTACGTTTTTGTAGAACATTTTTACCAAAGCGTTTTTGTTTAAAAGAATTTCGCAGGTAAATCGTTTCAATAGTTTCAATGGTCTCAGGATATCAAGGGTTTCAAGGCTTTCAATGGTTTCATTGGTTCCAAGGCCTTCAATGGTTTCAATGGTCTCAATGATTTCAATGGTCTCAATGGTTTCAATGGTTTCAATGGTTTCAATGGTCTCAATGGTCTCAATGGTTTCAATGGTTTTAATGGTCTCGGGGGTTTCAGGGGTTTCAATGGTTTCAATGGTCCCAATGGTCTTGTGGGTTTCAAGGGTTTCAATGGTCTCAAGGGTTTCAGGGGTTTCAATGGTCTCGGGGGTTTCAGGGGTTTCAAGGGTTTCAGGGGTTTCAATGGTTTCAATGGTCTCAAGGGTTTCAGGGGTTTCAAGGGTTTCAGGGGTCTCAATGGTTTCAATGGTCCCAATGGTCTTGGGGGTTTCAGGGGTTTCAAGGGTTTCAGGGGTTTCAAGGGTTTCAATGGTTTCAATGGTCCCAATGGTCTTGGGGGTTTCAAGAGTTTCAATGGTCTCAAGGGTTTCAGGGGTTTCAATGGTCTCAAGGGTTTCAGGGGTTTCAATGGTCTCAGGGGTTTCAATGGTCTCGGGGGTTTCAGGGGTTTCAAGGGTTTCAGGGGTTTCAATGGTTTCAATGGTTTCAGGGGTTTCAATGGTTTCAATGGTCCCAATGGTCTCAGGGGTTTCAATGGTCTCGGGGGTTTCAGGGGTTTCAACGGTTTCAGGGGTTTCAATGGTTTCAATGGTTTCAGGGGTTTCAATGGTTTCAATGGTCCCAATGGTCTCAGGGGTTTCAATGGTCTCGGGGGTTTCAGGGGTTTCAAGGGTTTCAGGGGTTTCAATGGTTTCAATGGTTTCAGGGGTTTCAAGGGTTTCAGGGGTCTCAATGGTTTCAATGGTCCCAATGGTCTCGGGGGTTTCAAGGGTTTCAATGGTTTCAGGGGTTCCAATGGTTTCAATGGTCCCAATGGTCTCAGGGGTTTCAATGGTCTCGGGGGTTTCAGGGGTTTCAAGGGTTTCAGGGGTTTCAATGGTTTCAATGGTTTCAATGGTCCCAATGGTCTCAGGGGTTTCAATGGTCTCGGGGGTTTCAGGGGTTTCAAGGGTTTCAGGGGTTTCAATGGTTTCAATGGTTTCAAGGGTTTCAGGGGTCTCAATGGTTTCAATGGTCCCAATGGTCTCGGGGTTTCAAGGGTTTCAATGGTTTCAGGGGTTTCAATGGTTTCAATGGTCCCAATGGTCTCAGGGGTTTCAATGGTCTCGGGGGTTTCAGGGGTTTCAAGGGTTTCAGGGGTTTCAATGGTTTCAGGGGTTTCAAGGGTTTCAGGGGTCTCAATGGTTTCAATGGTCCCAATGGTCTCGGGGGTTTCAAGGGTTTCAATGGTTTCAATGGTCTCAGGGGTTTCAAGGGTTTCAATGGTTCCAATGGTCTTGGGGGTTTCAAGGGTTTCAATTGTCTCAAGGGTTTCAATGGTTTCAGGGGTTTCAAGGGTTTCAATTGGATGCGCTTTTACAAATATATGTTATCTAATATCTACATTAAATTACAACTATTTACCAAAGTTACAATAATTAGAAATATGCTAGTTTAAAAAAATAGTCAAATATGATCAGGTCATCAGGAAGAGCATTCCATGCATAATCCATATGGACCTTAGCAGCTGCCATACTAAAAAAGAAATTATGATTATCTAATGATTTTTTTCAATAATCATGTCTTTTTTTTCACAATAGGGAGGCTCCTTCATTTGTAGTGCCAGCTGTATGACAGTATGAGATTCGAAGAGCAAAGGGAGCATCCTAGCTGGAGTTTTATTGGTTGTCGTTATCACGAGTATTTTTGTAACCTAAATTGAGTTATTTAAGGCGTTGATGTGTGTGTTTTCTAAATTGGATTTGCAACCGTGCTAAATTGATTTGAACTGTCTAAATTTTATATAATTTTATCTGAAATTGATTGCGATTATTGTGATTATTGCGATTGTGAAAATCAGAGTGCCAGGCCAGGAGTGGTGTAGATTTCATTTACCCTTTTTGGATACCATTCAATTTTGACACCGTAAATTTGTCTTTTACTGTGTAAACGTAACATTCTTCACATTAATTAGATAAGTATGCAATATATACTAATAATACTACAAAAGAAATAGTATAATATAACAACAAAGGTGATTATAGAAAACTCTGGCCTCGGATTTCGCGTTTTTGATGGACGAAAAATTTCCATTATATCAGAAATATTTCGCGAAATTTAAAATATAAAAGGCATTAAACTTCGCGAAATATTTCTTATTTCATAAAAATTCTTTTTTTGGAGTTACTATTGTATTATTTTATGATTAAAAAATGCGTTATCTATGCTAACATACGAGCTCTACATCCATTTTGACGGGGTATTTAATTTCGGGAAAATTTCGCGGAGTATTTTCAAAATTAAATACGATAATTTTGACAAAAATACTGTCCCTAAAAGGGAAAAAATCTGGCCAAAATTCGAGGTAAAAACTACCTTGTAGCACGCTGCTTAACTTATTTTGCGTAAAACATTGTTTTATTTGAATTGCCGTAAACTTGTCGAGATATCTGTTTACGTTTATAAACAAATGTATTTTCTACAACAAATTCGTTTTTTCAAAAAATCTCCTTTGTAATTATACTAAAACAATATTCTGAATATCGCTAAATAAAAACCAGGACTTCGTCTCATTTTTTTACTCAGCGATATTCTCGGCGATATTCAGCTCGCCTTCAGCGAAACTGGTAAATTATCAAGTTTGGTAAACATGCAAACTGATTAAAATTCATAACCATAGACATAGTAATTGTTATTACTTTTATCGTTCTTTCAGTTTAAATCGCAGTAATTCATCTCTTACCAACACTTCGTTGTCTTTTTTACCTATGGAAAGGTTAATTTGTTGCCTTTTCACTATCTCCTCATTTTGGTAGTAGTCCATTAAGTAGTTGAAGAAGATATGTGTCCCGAAATTCTGCTGACAAGAGCTTCTTAAACGCCGCGCATTTTTGCTGTTATTTTGACATTCTTGTACGCTAGTTGTGATGGAGTTTGCTTGCGCACACAAGTTGATATCATGGTACTGACATAACGGCGACTTGTGGGGATTAGAACTGGCGTGGAATCTGTCACCAAGCACGTAACGTTCACTACAACCAGAGAGTGGATGGCATCTACCAACCGTGCGATCATTTGATTCTGTAGTATCAGTACTGGCCTTATACTCTGGCGGCACAATAGACGGGACAATTGATTCTGAAAAGATATATCATTTTGTTAGACGTGTACATTTTTAATAATATTTACGCCTCATTACGCTTTATAATATTTTCGTGTTTATTGACTGAAAACAACAAATTTTTAAAAAAATGAGTAATTCTATTGCCTTGAAATTTGCAAAGCAGGACAAAATCGTCAGGCTTGCTACGCCACTGTATACATATGTACATGCAATATTATATACACTATATCTACATGCATGTATTGTAATTTTAATAATTATGAATTACATCTTTGGGTTCCTTTCCATGTATTGGTTTTTCGAAACATCCACTTCTTTCACCCCAAAGCTCTTTCGAGACATTTGGAGCGCGACATTCAAGATGTCGGACAAAGCCACAAGGTGTGTCGTTGATAAAGACCATTGGTGGATACTTGAGCGACAAGTAAATGTCTGCAGCATCTCTGACAGACTCGGTCAGGGCAAGAAACTTCGATGCAACAGTACACTGAAATAAAGATCGTGAATCTTCATATAAACTCCGCATGTGCGCGAAAATTGCTATATATCTATACAGTTATTCCTGCCACCATGTGACATAAATTACTCCTAAAGAGTCGTTTTTTGGGGGGTCAATTTTACCTTAAAATTGACATTTTGGGGGACCTTTTTTAGAAAGATGCCGTACATAACATACCACACTTATATGTTTTATGTGTTAAAAAACTTACTCCGTGTCGACAAACGAAATGATAAAATCCACCAGTTTTTCCAGGAACTTTCGAAAATGTATGACAAGGACTTAACCCAACCATGATGGAACAGTATAAGCTATAAATATCACCAATGAGAGCGACCTATGGAGAAGAGCATTTAGTAGGAAAAAAACAAAATACAGGTAACGATAATCTCATTTGATTGCAACATACTTGTAATAGCTTTATATAAAAAATACCTTTGACTTTCCAGAGGTTTTGATTTTACACCTGCTTGCAACGACAGTTAGCTGCTGCAAGCTAAGGTCCTTTAAATTTTCAATGTCCAAGCTCTCGTTGGTTATGAGCTGATGGAGTATAGCAGGATCACCTAAAGGAAATGTTGTATTATAATCATGGACGTATTTTGACGACAATTACGTCACACTGCTTCATGCACCTGCGATTTCAATGTTAATACAGACGTTTTTTCCAAACAAATATATCGAACATTATAGTAGCTACAATACAGCACAATTTAAACCATAAATTTAACTTTCGAATCACCTTCTTTCTCCGACGTTAAATGGTTGCTTTTCTTATCCATTTCTGTATTATAGCATGTGGTGTTCGCCGTGGCTGAGGGAACAATGAGTGGCATCTCCGCTATACCAATCTGAAAAGGGTTCTTGTTGCGGGTGTAAACAACTCTTTCAACTAGTTGTCTTTTGATTTTTTCCAGAAGTTCGTTCAAAGTTAACCCCCCTCTTTGATTTGTAATGTCGGTCTTTTCATAAACAATCTGAAATGAATTAAAATGGCAAATTTCCAATATATTGTAAAAATACTAGTAAAAAATATTATCGCCTTCACCGGGAAAATGTTAAGTAAGTTCTACTACTGTACCTCGGCATTACTGCAACAATTTTTTTCATTACCGTCACCAAGGCAAACTTCTGGGCAAATCCCACATATACCACATATTACATCGTTCAAGTCCCTTTCAGTTATTGCTTCAAACATCAAATAACCATTGTATATTAGATCCTCAATGTATTGCAGTTCACTCAATGACGGATTCTAACAAAGAATTAACTCGTGAGTAGATCTATAAAGATAATTAAAATTCTAAAGCCATTTTACATTTGTCAAGCATTTAGAGCATACAAAAATTGCTAAATCGTGAAGAAAAATATTCTGGACTTTCGAAGTTTAATTGTTGAAACAGCACTGTCACATTATTACGGGTGCTGGTGAAATTTTTACTCATAAAGATCTCTTTGAAGGTGAAGCAGTCAAACAGTTTGCTGATAAACTGTTCACTCGCCAACAACGACAGTTTTTAGGGGGTATCACACCTCGACGATTATTATTATACATGGCCTACGAGGTCGGAGTCAGTGGCCTGTGGGGCCCAGCTGCCCCAAGCGTCACGTCGTGTTTGCTAAATTTTGCTATTATGGATCTGGGATTACTGAACAATGCGTGTCGAACCTAAAAAGATTCCTGTGTAAAGTGTCTACAAACAAAAAGCACGGTCAGAGCTCGAGTCCTACGGGACTATGGGTATGGGGGCAGAGATTGTTGCAAGCAATACAATAGACCTTATGCATAATGACGTAACAAGCCGTGACACCTGCAGGAAATTCTGGTCTTTTAGGGAAATTTTAAATTTTTCGCCGTTGCTACTCAGACCAGAATTCCCTGCAGGCGTCACAGCTTGATGCGTCATTATATACATAATGTCTATTTAGGTAAGTTAACAACTTATTTTAATTGCAATACTCATATCATAACTTATTACCTCTTTAGATTTAATCTGCATCATTGCCAACTTTGCTCGGATAACGTTTGTGAGTGGATGTCCTGTCTTGAAGTACTCACGAATTTCCAGTAAGATATCAAAGGATACCATCAGCTTGTCAGAAATATTGAAAAGACCTAAAATACATGTTTGCTTTTGTTATACACCATGCCTTGAACACAAGATACAGGATTGAGTGGTTAACTAAGAACATCGGAACTAATAAGTTAGTCTATCATTAGCAACAGGGGAAGGGAAAATGTACTATTTCGCGGGCGCATCAATAGGAATTTCCAAAATCCCGTGTTTTTTTTCGCTTTGCGTCGCCGGAATAAAGTCCCGTAGTATAGAACATGGTGTACCTACAAGCTAAATTACTTAAATTTAAACCTATATATCATGATATTCTTGTAGATTCCAAGTATTGCTTCCAGAATTTAAATTATATGCTTCTGAAAACTCAAAATTGGCGTCGCGTTGCCGCTTCGCGTTCGGTCTGTGTCGACCTTTAGACGATACTTACCAATATCGAATGGGACTGCTTGGTGCATAGCTTGGCATGCGGAGTTACTGCACATCTTAACTTTGATGGAAATAAGTTTGAACGGATTCAGATCGGTGATGAGGTAACAATTTCCCTTCTTGCCTGGATGGGACTTAGGTGGAGACAGGGGAGAACCACATTTCTGGCAATCGCTACAGCATGGAACAAAAACTTCTGGCCAACCATCTGAGATGCCTTTCCAGGTGTTAACGTCATGTTCCAATATTGTTTCGATAGTTGTCTTTTCGAATTTATAAGGGAGCTGCCTTGCCAAAGCGATATCAACTGTGTAGTCCCTTGCGGATGCTTTACTGTTTATATCAGGCAATTGTTCCTCTTCGGTTGGATTGTCAGGTAATGAAGATGGTTCAGTCTCCTTGCTTTGTTGTGCTAACAATACATGTGCAAATGTATGCAATTACACTTCACTTTTTTGTGCTTTCCTTTCGCCATATAACCACGACAATCTTTGCCAGTACACGACATACCCTCTTTTGTTACGTCAACGTGACAAAAACCAAGTGGATTGCTGGCTGTTGCCTCTGCGTAAATCGCGTACTTGGTGTGTGAAATTTTTACAACAGGCGCAAAACCATTGTCTTTTGCAAACTGACATGCTCGCGAAAGACTCTCGCTAATGGTGCTGCTACATGGGTAGGTTGTCAGCGATTCATTGTTGACGGAAATCTGTTGCAAAGGAGTTGTTTTTTATCTACTGCCTCGTTTATGTGTTCGCAGGTAAACTGTTTTGTTTCGCCAGAACTAACATGCATTGCACGTTTATCTTTGCAGTTGTTATTCAAACACATCCAATTACCACTTTCATCCTTTGTAACAAAACACCTGTTTCCACGTTTAGTTGTCGCAACTGAAACAATTGATTGGGTTACGGTGACTGCGCTAGAAATTTTTACCGCAGTTTTGGGTCTTTTTTCTGACGTATGCGATCCACCAATAAATTCACCGCAACTCGAACACTCTTTGGGCTTATAGCGATTGAAATACTCAGCACTGCATTTCGGGCACTGCCCTTTGCCACGTTTTCTTCCCTTCGAATCCATATCCAAATATTACAATAAATAATATTACAATAAAATACGATCACTTCTCAACGAAAAAATTGTATAAAACGCAACGCTCTTACTATAAGTTTGACAGTTGATGAAGTAATCATGCATGTTTAAGCTATTGTTCAATTTAGTAACCCCTTGTCAGCACTTTTGACTTTCCTTAAGTTTTGATTGGACAAACAATAGAACGCCATAGTTGTTTTTACTTTTGCCAACGCGGCGTATTTACAAAGTTCAAGCCAAAACAATGGCTTTAGCTAAAACAGCATTTTTTTAAATTGGGATTAAAAGCAAAATATTTACATCCGAATCCATAACATGAAGAAAAGTTAATTAGTGTTTTTACAGTTTTCTACAAAAGTGACTAATATCTCATACTAAATTCGTGGTTTTTAACATACATTTGAAGCTTTAAATTTTTTTGCCAACACAGCTTCTTTTTAAAGTGCAAGCCATTGTCATTTTTAATGGAGCTATACAAATCTGACTAAAACAATTTAAAATAAATTTTTCCTGGAGTTCTGATACGTTACACCAAAACACAAATGATGCATTGTTTTCATGTCGTCGATCAAAACAATTTTTAAGCACATTTGGTTGGTTGAGGAGATCGAACAATCAGATTGTCAAAGTTACTTTTGACTTGCTAACACAGCATATTTGTAAAGTGCAAGCTAACACAAAAACAATAGAAGCAAATCTCACACTGACCGTGCACTGACGAGAGACAAAATAATCAAGGACAGGTGTAATATACAGATCTACTTAGCTTATCATGAGCTCGCCAAAAAGTGATGAAGACTCCATTTATTCTGAGACAAGGGATAATGAAGAAGAGGTGAGTTAAAAATTTCGATTACAATTAATGTATACATGCATGATAAGCCGTTAGGTTAGCGGTAGAAAAGAAACCAGTGGCGTCGCGATGCAGGCAGGGAGGGAGCTGTACCCCGCCCAGCGGGCGATTTCGCCAAAGTATTTTCTATTGCCAAAGAACAAAATTTGGAAAACATCTATAAATTTGACTGAGCAGTTTCGTTTTTTCATAGTATATAAAACTGGTGTTTTTATTTAATTCTATAGTGGGGAGAAACGTCTTTCCACGAGTTATTCGCAGAAAAGCAAGGCCAGACGTATATAAAAAATGGCGAGGGCTGGGTGTTATTTGGAGATTTCACTCTTAAATTTTTGGGGGAAATGAGTTGTGGCAGCTGGGTGTGCTCATGTACGGCCCGGGTTCTTGGTCAGTACGAGCAAAGGTATATCAATATCGTATTCTTCTCTTGTATATATTTTATATTGGTCTGTTCTGTTCTGACATTTTCATACATACCATATCACCCGATGTAACGATATTTCACCCAATGTTTTTTGAATGCAAAGGTAATATTACTGTATAACCTATCCCGTAAAATTTTGACAGCTCTCTTCGCTCTCGTCTCGAGGTTGTACTATTTTTGGTTTTAGTTTAAAATTGCATGCTTTGTTCATCGCAGGAGAATTGTGATACCAGCCAGTGCGTTTGATTCAAAACCGAAATTTCTCGAGAAAACAAGAAACGCATTCGGTGGCGGCCTGTTCAACATAAGTGATGCTAACGTGAGGGATATTGAGGCATATTACAATTACCTCAAAGAGGAATACTACGCAGGGAGTCCCAAAGCGTATTACGGGGTCGAGCTAATTGGACGGCAAAAAGAGACAGGCTACTGGTGTCTTTCAAGGGAGGTATGGGCATTAACGTTTTTTTTTAAATCTTCATTGAGAATTGCGCAAAAAATAAATGGGACATGCATGCAGGTATTGCCATTGTTAAAAACTCCCAGTGCGTGTTCACTTGCAACTGGTTAATCCTGCCTCTTTTCTTAATCTTCGAAATACATGCACAGTTATGTTATCCACGCGGACATGACAACCGCAAAGTTTTTTTTTTCATTACTTTCTTCACATCCATGCGCTATATGTTGCTGTGGCGTACATAGCGATGTAAAAATCCCATTATAATTACTATGTATCTATAATAGTTTGTTTCATTTCAGATACAAATAAACAATGATGGCCAGTTTCTTAAGGAAGAAGACAAGAAACACTATTTTAGCCAAACGGATCTGACGGATTTTGAGCTTTTCCTTGAGGAGCGATTATTAAGCGACAGCTCAAATTTGTTGCTAATATGCCAAAGGTTTGTTCATTTTTTACCAACAATTTACTCCGAATACAATCGATTTCAAAATCACAGATTAAAACAGTGGCGGACACTGTCATATGACCCACATGAAATATTGGGGGTAGGCGTTTCGAGAATTCTAGGGAAATTTAGGCATGCCCCCCAATTGAAAAATAATGCATAAAATTGTATTGTAAAACATATACCGTCGCGTGAGAGACTGAAGTATAATAGCGTTAGATACTACAGACATATAATATTATAGTGAGGTTGATTAAAATTGTAATTATTTGCACCAGTTCACATCTCCTTCCCTTGAAGAACAAAGTATAAGATGTCGTTTAAACACCATTGGTGGGTTAAATAGTAGCAAACATAAGATGCAGCAAATCTACGACGCGTATATGAGGAGAAACTATTGTTTTACCTATTATTCTATACAGTTTTATGATACGGAAAAAAACTAAAACTAATTTCCAAAACTGTTTTTATGTCACGTCCGCGTCGTAGATCTGGACTTTGGTGCATCCTAAGCTCGCTAGTGAACCATCTGAGCACAATCCATTTCATATAGATTTATCGAGGAATCATTGGCGTTCAAGGAAAATACAATGGCCTTCAAGTTAGCGACAGCATTTCTTCTGCTTCGTCTCTTAAGAACAGGCGATAATAACCATTGGGGTACGCAATTTTCAATATCTTAACTTGGCATATAATTAGTGTATGCATGAAATCGTTGATGCAACTATATCTATGGCATAATTTCTAGTGGTATAAAGGTTTTCTTAAACAGGACGTTATAAAAGTCAATTCTCTAAATACTCGTGCTAGGACATTTGCGTACGAGGTTTGAATCATATGCACGGTTGAATTGAGTTAATTCGAGTTTTCTCGCATATTTCATTATAGACGAGAGTTCAATCTTGCTGCTACATTCCACCATTGCAGAGCGAAATGTCGGGAAATCCTTTACCCTAGATATCCTTTCCAAGGCACAGGGTGTTAATCGTAGACAGCATTCTTTACTGCTGGCTGGTGGAGATCAAAATAAAACAGGAACATCTGTGTAAGTCAAAATATACTATTATTCTGTCCAGTTAACAAACATCTATTTATTAGGGAAGTACATAAACTGAAAAAGCATCCCTCATCAACAAAAAAATGTAAAACGTTTTAATTAAACATTATACACATGCTCTATTTACTCATTACTATTTATGCTTCAATTTTGCGCTCTATAGGGCAATGATTCGAAAAATTTTGACACAAACTAATGTAGTGGTCATGATAGACGATCCAATAATAACGCCAGGTATGGAAGAGTTTCTCCTGCAAACAGGTAGTGGGCTCTTTGCAGGGTCGATAGCAGGTGGATTAGCAGCACCTCAAGGAAGTTTGCTTTTGACCTCTAACAACGATGTTTTCAATAGGTAAGAGAAATCAGAGTATTGACATGCACGAATCAATTTGTATTTAGTTGTACCCTTGCAACAAAGTACGTATAGAATAGTTCATGATCATGAATACAAATATATATATATATATATATATATATATATATATATATATATATATATAAATTTCGCATGACATGTGGTATAACAACTGCCTAAAATAGACAAAACATTTCTCGCCCTTACGTCGTGACAAGGACCCTGGCTTAGGTCAAAACGTCGAGAGGTGCTTTGTCTATATTTTAGGCAGTTGTCATACCACATTTGATAAGAAGCTGTTTGAAGACGCTGCTCTCTAGTTATATTGGAACGTATCCATGCACAAACATATCATGCATATAAGTCTACGGAATTCCTATATATACTGTGAAAATATTAACATTTTCAGAGCCGATGGGAGGATCATTGTGCTAAAATACCGAAAAACGCCATTTTCGGTAGAAGACAGGCAAAAGCTTAAAGCCGGCATTGGACCAATAGCTGAAATTCACACGGTATAATGTTATCTGAAGTTATCGTGTGTTCGTAAGATTTTCGCCACAGGATATTCAATTTTATTTTATTTTTCCTTTACTTATATAGGGGTTTCTACTAGCATGGGTGATCAGAATGTTTCCTTTTTGGCAACAGCAATTCCCGACAATTTCCACCCTGGTGGAAAAAATTTTGTCACGATTAGTTCCGCCCAAAATTCAAGACAGATGGCAACAAGGGGCTTCAGCTATTATAGCAACATATGCGATAGTACGTTCACCTTTCGACCAAAAATGTGTAGACGCTAGGGTTAGGACATGCGCTCGATCGTCTGACAAGAATCGCACCTACGTACGCCTTCCAGTCAGAGGAACGGAGTGCATTCTCGGTACTAAAATTGTATTACCTGTTTGAACAGGTATCTTTCGCCAGGAAACAAGACACTGACAAATTCCTTTTATGTTGATTTTCCCTCTCCAATATGATGTTCTTTTTCAGTTTGAAACATCTGTAGGCATAAAACCACGATGCAAGGATGCAATTATGAAACTGATTCAAGATATGGCTGTGGAAAAGGGCAATGATGGCCCAGATTTATTGGAAAAATTAAATACATGCCTGATGGAAAGACTGACGAGGGATGACGAAAATGTACGTAATTGAATAAATTCAATTGATAATAACTAACTAAATTTCGACCAATTTGGCAGTGAAATACCATTGATGCAACCAAACGATGTGGTTTTCACGAGCTAATTATTACTTTACGTTCGTGTACCTATTGGCTTTGCAGGCACTTGTCATTAGGGCAGTTTTCCACTAGGTCGAATTTTCTTTTCTATTGTGAGAATTCAACCGTAGCGGAATACCTTGACCAGTCACAATGGAAAAGAAAATCGAGCCAAAAATTTCATTCATTCAAATTCAGCCTAGAGGTTGCTCATACAATATCGAATTTATAACTAATTATCGTTTTTCTCAGGTTATGAAATGGCTTAACCCATTAACGACTGTTCCCGTTAACCAACAATATGGCCCAGCAATAGGAATAAAATCGTCTGTTCTGGACACGTTTATCAATCTAAAAAGCAAGGTATGTTGTCATAAGATAGTCCTGTGTACATTAATTAAGTGCACCTAATGACCTTGATTGTGAACCCATATGAAAAGAAAGTGATCACGCAACACTTTGCAATAAATTGAAATCCCCTAAGAATAAAGAACATACCTGTTTTACATTTTTATTTTTAATGCGAATCTGTATACACTGTTTAATGTACCATCTGTCACACAGGATGTTTCAGCATTTCTGAAGAGTATGTCAGATAAAACATCAAGCACATCAATGATGTTTGCTGTTCAGGATGACTGTACTATAACAGACATAAAAAAACGAAACGAGGAGAAATGCAAGATGGCCAAAGGTTGGAAAATTCCAATTGCAGTGATAAAACCAGAAGCACTGCACATAATTAATGGTAAATATGTCATATATGCTATAATGCTCTTTAGTGCACAAATAGTGAATAATAGAGTGTTTGGGATGTCATTTCAAGGGAAACTTACAAAATCTTAAATGAAAATGGAAAATATCTTTGATTCCCTGCATATCATTTATTATGAGCAGATAAATTCAATCTTGAATGGCCAATTCATGAAAGTGAAGATTCTGGGGATAAAGCAACATCAGATCAGGCAATAACTGAAGAAGAAGAGGAGGAATTAAATAATGTAGAAGAAAGGCTGATTAATCTAGGAAAAGGTATTAATATTTAATCATAAAACTTGTATGAGTGTAGAGATGATTTTAGTTCTTGCCTCCTGTCCATATATACCATATTACATCCAAATGAGATGGACATGAACCATGTCTTGCATAGTTCTATAATTAGTTGCCATTAATTATTAATATAATTCATTATCATTTCTTAACGTGTAATGGATGAGATTTTGTAGTGTGTTTGTAGTGTGTACACACATACTGCAGGTAATTAATTTATTATTTATATTTAGATTTTGTAAACACCTTGTGTGGTAGCACCAATGAACCAGAAAGAGAAAATGAGCCTGCCCCTGTAAGTGGCTTGGTTAACAATTTCTTGAATACTCTAATTTCTAACAGGAAAATCATGTATAGAAAAAAATTAATTAAAACATAAAAAAAACCCCATGAAATCCTCACTACTCTTAGAACATTCAATTGAATTAATTACCTTATTATCTATATATCTAATTTACCTGGTACTTATTATATTATCATGTCTCACTTTTAAAACTATATAGTCCTTCTTATCGCCAAACACAGCAAAATGGTGGACAACACTAACACCAAATAGAAAAGAAGTATTTCAAAAGGTAAATTCTAGTATAGGTAAATTCTGTATAGTGTTAATACAGCCCTGCTTGACAATTCCTACACAATACTTAGGAGTTAGGATAATTTGAAATGCTTCTTTATAGGGTGTCCAAGCTGGGATAAAGCTCTCAACCTTTGAAGAAGAGACAGACCCTAACCCAAAAACTACAAAAGGCAAGTGATTTAGACGTATTAAAACGCAATATAAAAATAAAACAAAATTTTCATATGCAATAAATATTTTGCAATCTCACTGCCTTTAAATATTTACAATAATAAATAACCAATCTTCACTTGTACACACACTTAGATAAGGCCAAGAAACGGCTGTTTGCAGAGGGGACAGTCGGAGTTCAAACAAGAAGAGGTACAATATGCAAATAATATTATTAACTATATGTAAAAGCTTATATACTGGTAATGTAAAATTAATAAAATAGAATTTTTACTCAAAAAATACCTTGCAGTCAGGCAGAACATTTCAAAAAGCTCCCCAACAACAGAGCACTGCCAAGCATGTGGCCTAGTAAGTCCAACAAAAGATTGGTCTAATCAGTGGGTACAGTGTGATGGCTGCGATAAATGGTTTCATTTGTAAGTAGCAATATGTTATTGAAATATCAATTTCACAAAATACAATCAATACACTCATCGTAACTCTATGGAATAGTCTTCCAAATTAAAGAAAATATTTTTCCAACATATATTGCTTCGGGGAGAGACCCAATTTAAAATTGTTACCCCACACTAGTCAACGTGCCGAAAAAATATTTCAGAAGACTTTTAAATTGATATTACATAACTAATAAAATCGTTTTCTATAACCTACAAAATATCTTCTTATAGGGAATGTGTAAAGTTAACAGCACTACCAATGGAAGAAGAACCATGGCAGTGCAACGATTGCGCATAAAAAAACATTTGTATATTAAAACTGACAGTGCCAGATGATTTCTGGTAGTTTCGTACTCTTGTCATTCATTCTCCTGCCGTTTTATTGTGCTAGATTGTGCTATAGTGTCAGTATTAATTTTTTTTGAATTTGGAATTGATATTTTCAACGATGTCATATAAAGTATAAAACAGCAAGTTGTAATTTATAATTTTTGGGATATTAATAATAGATAGTCTCGAAGATATTTGCCGTATAAATATACAACGCTACAAAAGCTACCTTTGGTCGAAACTATCACGGTTAAACACTTTGTTGCATGCATAAAACGTTTATATAACTTATATAAGTATGTCCTTGAGGTACACGTATAACTGCTGTCCGCAAATATGCAAAAATACGGGAATCTTACCTCCATTGCTTGTCCTTCAATATCATGGTTTCAAATTATATCGCTGTTGTTGTCGGTCGCCAGAATGATTGAAGAAGCGCATTATCACAGCAGAGTCTACTTTACAAAACTCAGAGCAATTAATAACTATTAAAAACAAGCAAAAACCAGAAAGTAAACGTATATATACGAGTATTTTTTCATACATCGCATTGCGCCATGACAGGCATATTGACTTCCGGAAATTAACAAATATAATTAAAATTCTAAATTCTATTCTATGATTGGTTCGAAACCCTTGAAACCCGAAATCTCATTTTAGCCAATCAGGTTAGATCTTGCGAGAGGTGCTACATATCTGTGAGTGACAGCTGTTTTACTAACTTTTGGGGAATTTCAAAAGACGAAAAGCTCCTTGAAACAAAGAAGAACAACAGGTGAGTGTTCGTTCAATTGTTTTGGTATTTTGAATGATATAATTTTCCATGCGTACATTTTTATTAGTGCGAAGGAGTGACACACAGTCACAGACTCACAGTCACACACTAATGTGTAATTGACAGTGTAAACATATTGAAATATACTGATTTTAGTGGTTTAGAATTAATCTTGTGATAAAATAAAAATCTCAAATGTCAACGTTTTTATTTCTAGGTATCCAACACATCTTGGAAAATATGAACAATAGTTTCAGATACGGACATGCCAGTAAACTCGCATTTGCGTTGGAGATGGTGGATAGTTATGTGTAGTACGTAGCTTGAAGATCAGTTTATCTTTATCACAACAATAATAAAAGACCGTAAATAATTTATTCAAGAAACAACACAAAGAAAGGGAAGGTCAAACTATTTTGATTTATTTCAAAAACAACTGCCCTCTCTACTTTATTAACAATGAATTCCTTGTGTGGTGGGTACATAATATGGGACATGTAGGTGGGACAATCATGGGACAATTCATTCCAAAATTATACAGCTGTAAGTATAGGTAATATGAAATTGTAATGTGACTTTGTTGTTAAAATATTATATCATTAATTGCAATAAATAGTGTTTTTGCAATCTTGTGTTGTTTCCACTGTTTTTTAAAGAAAGCCTGCAATAAAAAGTAAAAGATATGTCAAATATGTGGCAATGGCAAATTCCTCTATAAGTGATTTATCATGACAAGTCTGGAGTTAACAAGAAAGGGCTTAAGGGCATGTAGGATGTAGCATCCAGGGCCTGATTTGCAAACTTCCAGATCTGCAACATGTGTTCAACCAGGATAAATAAAACCCTATACAATCACCATAGAAATATAAAATGGGCTGAAAGCCAATTGTTTGCACAGCTTACAGTATACATTTCATTTTATATCCAAAAATCAGATAGCAACACTGGGCTATTCAAGTAAATACATGTTGTGTATACAGCAAATCTGTTTCGTGTTGAAACAAATTGTAATTTTGTCTCCTCATTGAATATAGGCTAGTAATCACCTTGCCTTTAGTCAGTAATTTTTAGGATTTTACAATTTGTAATAATATTTAAGTGAATAATATTTGTCAAAATATTGGGCAATTGGAGAAAGATACATTGTAAAGATACATGCTGGACTGTACAATAAATACAGGTAGAGAATATCACACAAATCTGGTTCATTTTAAAAAGTTGAAAAATGCTCCACGGCGTACCACTCCAATTTTAATTAAATGATGGTTTTTGTAAACTAGCATACCTAGGGCAAATCATGAAATACGCCTTAGGTTGATCGGAAATGGTTCTCAGTTGATATTTAATCATTTAACTTAAGGTGAAGGTTCCCTCCATATTGGCCAAATCATGGCTTATAGAAAACCTGTGGATTTTGGGAACAAAACATCTTCAAACCATCTAAAATCATCATAGAAGTGTAAAATAGGTTGAGAGCCATGTTTGCACAGCTTGTAATATGGCGCTTCGCGTTATATTCAATAAACAGATAGTAATGCTGGACTGTACAAAAAATACAGGTTGAGAATACACAAATCTGGTTCATTTTAAAAAGTCGAAAAATGCTCCACGGCGCACCACTCCAATTTTAATTAAATGATGCTTTTTGTAAACTAGCATACCTAGGGCAAATCATGAAATATGCCTTAGGTTGATCGGAAACAGTTCTATAGTAATTTACAAGTGGTGAACAACAGTTTTACAACAGACTTATGTATTCATTTTATACTCAATTACACAAAAATATTAATAACTTTTTAGATAAATTTCATGCCTAGATTTTGGGACCAGGGCAATTGTTGTAACAAAATACATCTTAGTTAAACATTAGACGTTATAAATTATAATATGAACACTTAGCTTGAAAGATAAGAGCAAAATACGGATTATAGTGACTGCATTTTGTGAAAATTTAAAATTTGAATCGCTTCTAAATTTAAGCAAGATATACTCCGAAATAACCAAGCTAAGTTTATTTAAGATGCCTTAAATTAAAACTAGAATGTCAAAGGAATGTTGCAAGGTATGATTCATTATTATCGATGGCAGTAAAATATGAAAAATCCGCAAAAATGCACGCCTACCTTCCATGCTTCTGTGAGAGTCGAATCCTTCAAACCCCTCTGTGTAACATTGCGTTGCTTTTGACTCTTCAATTACTGTTGAATTCATCTTGTTTATCATTTTACACATCATTCCAATAGTATATTGACGATATTTAACAAAATTAAACGAAAGTCAACAGTTGACTATGTGAAAACACGCAGTAAAGTACTCACACGATATAAGAACCAGCCGCCATATTACCACCCGATTCATTCGATTAAATCTTAATTTAGTTTTGAGCGCCCAATACGCGATTTTCTAATAAAACTCCTCTTAAAACAAAACATGTTCGTTATAGGTATGGTCGTTATAGGTATGTAAGAATTCAATTTTAATTTCAATTAATTGAATGCCACTTTTACCCAACAAAGATTAACCTGGGCATGTAAAATATAATACATGAATAGAATTAACCAGATTTTGCATATTTCAGGAAACCAAGACTGTTGAATATCACAATACATAATGATCCTGGAATCATTAGAATATACCCTAGCTTAATCTTTGTTGGGTAGAGTACATGCACTGAAGTTCATGGTGCAATTTGTACAATTCTGCAAAATATGTTTCAGTGCAGGCTTGCATGATTTGGGATCTGCAGTCTTTGGGCAAATCATAGTTAATAGAATATACATGGTTTGGAGACTACATAAAAGTACAATAGAACTCATTAACTATGTCGGGGAACATTTATGCAAAAATTGTTCCTTATTCATCACGTGTCTATTGTATTTTGAACAAATAAACCAGTAGTAAGGTCTGAATTAACATTTTGTTCAAGTCTCGGTTGAGGAGCTAAGCCAAGCTATTGCTATTGGTTAGTTGGGCAAAAATACAATAGACATGTGACGGATAAGGAATGCCGGTGCAATGCCCTTGTCCTTCCTCCCGGAGGAGCTACAGTTGACTCATTTTTCCATCAACTGTTCCTGGCTTGAATTTGAAGTGTGTATAATACCACTCGAAATTAAGACCCTTTAAACCTCTAGAATATTCCTGCATCGAGTGAAGTGCCAAAAATCATGATTGATTTTCTGATATGTGATATCGTAGTTTCATTCTCTTCTGTTGCGGCGAAAACGCAAAATAAAATTAAATTGAAAAAATTAATATCAAGCAAATTTTGCTAGAATTCAGTGAAAATATTTTGTACTAAATTCAAAATAATAACCATCATTGACGCACCAGTATAGTCACGACCACTTGCTTCCAGTACCTCGCTGTCGCTAGCCATCCTGCTTTCTGTAGTATTTATAGTGTAATTTAGCATTAATAGGCTAAAATCATTAAAACAATGCCTTTCTAAAAACCTTTTAGTTTTTTTTCTGCTTTATATTCGTGCAGTGAGTTACTGTAAGATATATGAAAGCTATAAAAGATTTGTGAAATGTGAATCAAAAAGCGCGCGAAATAAATTTGATATTTGATCTTTACCAGGCTTCCAACTCGTGCGCGGCCATAACATCCAATATGGCTACCAGATAATGAGGAGTGTATATTTTAAAAGAACTTAAAAATACGTAAGTTTATATGCAAATTTAGTATATATGAATAGACTTTGTAGTTTAATTTTTCCCCACAATAAAATTCATTTAAGAATAAATAATACGAGTACACATATATACTTAATAGTATATACGATACTATGTAAGGGTAAACTTAATACTGCTCCTAGCCGCTATGTGTATATCTGCCAAAAATTACTCAGAGGCCCCGGAAACAATTAAGGGCAGGCGGGGGTAGCATAACAGGTACAGGGCCGCAGCTAGAAACTTAATTGTGGGGGTGTATATTCATGTATTCGTCTTATGCCCGATTGATTTCTTTTGTACGTTATTGTTCCTACGGTATATAAACATGAATATATGAATATACACCCCCCCCCCCAATTAAGCGGAATAGCTACGGCCCTTTGTTGAGATAACATTGATATTTTGTCAGCAAATAACTAGGTTTAATGAGAGGAAAATTGGCAACACGATGCAGTAAAATGTGTTTCCAAGAGTCTTGACAGTCTCAAAGTGAGCAAGACACTAAACCCTCTAACATGTTTGTGAAAAAATGACATTTCTGCTTACCCCTTGGGAAACTCCTAAGCCCCACTCATGATTTTTCAATAAAAGGCCCCTTTTCCAAATCGCTTGGCATTTTGTTCTTGTCCAAAAGTTAAATTTTGATCTCATTAAAGAGTATGTTAGTTGACGTTTAAAAGGTGTGGGTTCTACTAAAATTTTTAAGACCAACTTGCCTGGTAGAGAGTACTTAAAATGAGTGGTCAGACCATATATAACATGAGAGCTGTCTTATCATGGAGTAGGCAATTCACTTAGTGTACATGTTGAAGAGGGCAGAAGAAGGTACATTCTTTTGCTTGTCCAGTAGTTTGCTATCCCTCCAGTAGTTTGCTATCTTTCCAGTAGTTTGCTATTTAAAGTGTTGTTAAAGCGGTGTTGTTGAAAGAAAGTGCTTTACATATCAAATGACATACAAAACGACATTTAAGTTAAGTTGAATAACACACATGTTCATATCGCGTAACAGTTCCCACGCTTCTGGGAGCAGCTGAAACATCAGGCGCAAAACAAAGAACACAGCATGGTATACACCTTCAAAGAGCAAAAAAGTTGTAAAGCTGACAACCATAACCCAGTGCCTACGGGTTGGTGAAAATGATTCGTAAAAGCTAAATCGAACATCGCGAAGATACGTAATTCATTTCAAACGAAATATTTAATCCCTTTTTTTAATTTGTCATCAAAATTTTCCTAGCTCTTGCCGGTTTATGTAATTGCATATAATAACAATTTCATCGCGTTAGAGCATCTGACACATTTTGGCTTGTATTTTGGATTTAGGTATATAGAGGGAGTGTATATATGTCAACGAAACTATGACTGTAAAGTTTCGCCGTAAAGGCAAAGCTAACTTCGTCTCTAAACTAACTCTTTGGTGGATAGTTGATATATTGTGGAGAGGAAACAAAAATCCACTCAATTTGAAAGATCTTTATCCTGTTGATAAAGAAGACCGCGCCGAACATCGTAGTGGTCGCTTAGAGAAAATTTGGAGGGATGAGAAAACATTTGCAAATCAAAAACAGAGAAAACCAAAACTTTGGAAAGCGATGATAAGATATATAACGTGGAAAGAATATGGAGTTGTATCATTCTGGTGTTTCTCGGCTGTCTCAGGCGCTGTTTTCGTTCGGTATTTTGTACTGAAACTAATGGAGGCTATGAATGATAATATGGCAAACGACATGCGATCAAAATATGCGTGTATTGTTTACTTATGGGGAATGATTATATCATTATTAGTTGAAAACTTCGGCGTACGACATTTCAATTTGAATACATCGTTACTAGGAATCAAATCCAGGGCGGCTGTTTTAGGCTTGATTTATCAAAAGGTAATGCGGTCGTAGTAATGTAATAGGGTTCCACAGGTTATCTGCTCATATAAGTTCGCATGCATGCTCCAATCTCCATCTTTGCCGAGAAATATCGGACCTTGGTCTTTTCGCACAAACCTCGCTTTAGGACCTTCGTCCAATATTACCTGATAGAGAAATCTGTCAAATACCGTGTGTCATATATCGAGACCATCATTATACTTTTACCATCCTTAATTAAATTACCTGGGGACTTTTTTCTTTTTAGGTGCTGAAATGCAGCAAAACGACGTTAAACCCTGGGAAGGTGCTGGAATTGATTTGTAACGATACGCAACGTTTAGTCTTAATGGCAGACAGATCTATTCTATTCCTGTTTCGTAAGTCAATGTCGGCGTTTCTATACACAGGCTGGCTTTTTTTAGTTCTTGGATGGAAAATAATTCCTGGTCTTCTTGTCTCCATATTTCTTGCCATAATTCGCATTTCAATTGCGAAAAGCGATGTGAAGTTGCGACAAAGTGCCTCCGAAGTTGGCGAAATTCGTCTTAGTTACCTGCGAGAATTCCTTACGATCATTCCTACTGTCAAGCTCAATGGTTTAGAATATATCTACCGGAGTAAGATTCAAGCAACAAGATGGTATGTTGAATCACAATTTAATACCTAAGCAAAACTTGCTTGCACGCTTGCACGGCATTGCATATATATGAAGAAGGTAAACCTATACTCCCCTAATAACTGACTTAGCTTGTTCTACAAAAACAACTAGCGCTATAGTACATGGAAATACAGCATGATTATAGTCGCAATTATTTATTAAAAACCGTACATCCAAAACCTATATTTACAGTTAGCAGTTGTAGAAATCATCACAAAAATTTTAATGTGTCATATACCACATTGAACGTCTTTTTACTAAAAGAACAGCGGTGAGGTTTGAGGAAAAAAAACTGGATGTACAGTAGGAGGCAAAAGTTTGAGTCCAGTCGTTGTAGAATTCCAGTATTAAACCCTGGCAGTGTATTCGAGTAAGACATGCGTATTAGTGTTTCAGTACTGTAAACCATATTAATTACACACTGTTTTGGTCCTAATGATCTAAATTATAACAAAATAAAGTTCTTATTCCTTTACACTGCCCAAGATTGGTGGGAAAAAGGGCAAAGTGATGGTGCACAAGGACAGATAGTTGCATTAAGTATTGAGGGATTCTTTCCTCGTAAGATCGCAGAAAAAGTGAGAATTTAAAAAGGTGGTATGCAACTAACCTTGGAGAGGTTCGAAGAAACTAAATCCTACTCAAGCAAACTTTTAGCTTCTTCCGTCATGCTCGGTTTGGCAATATTGAAAGATATAATAGGATCCTAATTAAAGTAAAGTATCATCCAATTCTTCAAGGACATGGAATTTCATCTGGTACAAGGATGATCGCGTGTGTAACTACATGATAATCCCCATAAACACCTGCACATCTTCTATGTGCCAGAAATCGTTTAGAAGCAAACTCGTTTTGGTGATCTCGTTCTCATGGCTTTCCACCTCAAATTCCAGATCTGAAACCTATCGAGTACTTGTAGGACCGTTTTAACCGGAAAAGGGCGAGGCACAGACCCGCCAGCCAGAATGACTTGAGGCAAGTTGTCAACGAATTCTGGCAAGGTATTAAACGTGCGACATTAAGAAACCTATGGAGTCTGTGCCAGCAAGAATAAACGTCATTTCAAGAGCAAAAAAGAGGGACACTAAGCATTGACATGAAATGCATTTTTGCACATTAACATACGTAAAATGAATATCATAACGTCTCATAGTTGTTGTACAGCATGTATTTTTCTGTTTACTCGTGTACTTTTTTGTAGTTCACTTATCGGTAAGGTTTTCTGTAGAATATTAATATATGCTGCTAAAACAATGAAATACAGTCACTGGACTCAAACTTTTGCCTCCTACTGTATATTAGCTTCGTCTCTTCTGAAAACAATTTTTCAGTTGCATTAGCAACGTTGGAGAAATAAAGTAGTAATCATTATTTAGGCATTTGAGAATTAAATTAAGGAAGTGTTTGGGTGCTAAAAAGTGGCGCTTTTTCACAGATGCATATCACTCTACTACGATGATGTGTCAAAGTTAGAAAATGTATACTTTATTACTCCTCGATTCAATATTTCGAGTATCCTTGGTGTGTCGAGTATCCTTGTTTTCGAGTATCCTTGGTGTATTTCAACCTCTTTTGTTGATTTAGGGAGGAAATCAAATTCAAAGCAAAGCGATGGACAATTTTTTCCATTTTTGTTTCCTTCAGTGTGTGCGGGCAGCTTCTTTCGACATTCGTGACAATCGTCATTCTAATATTTACTGACACCACCATGCTAACATTTTCTTTTGTATTCACGACAATTTTACTAAGTCAGAGTATATGCAATACAGTTCTTATGCACATTCCTGTTTCGATTCATTTTACAACGGACATTCTCACTGCACTTTCTCGGATACAGCATTTCTTAGAACGCTCTGACGACCTCGAACCCATAATAAATGTTAATCGGTCCAACGATATTGCCCGTCCAGAACTTGAAGAATCTTCAGCTAAAGAAAAACAGGCCTCGTTGAAAGCATGCTGTACTCCTTACATTTGGCTTGAAAATTATTCCCGTAAGGTCGCTCATCAGGATACACATGGCCAGGAAAACGGCACATTTCAGTTACAAAATATTTCCTTTAAAATTGAAACCGATGGATTGGTTGTTATCACCGGTTCGGTGGGTAGTGGAAAGTCTTCCCTCCTGATAAGTATTCTTGATGGAGATCTTGCTATTAAAGAGGGATCTTTAAAACATTCAGGGAGCATTGCTTATGTTTCGGATACGCCGTGGGCTTTTCCAGGCACTATCCGGGAGAATATATTATTTGGCTCAGCTTTTAACGAGCAATGGTACTTAGAAACCATCAGAGCTTGTCAGTTGGAAAAGGATTTTAGGACATTTCCAGAACAGGACTTGTCACGTATCGGAGAACACGGTGCAACATTGAGTGGTGGACAGCGGACACGTATCGCTTTGGCACGCGCTGTTTACTCGCGGGCAGATATATATCTACTTGATGATCCTCTCAGTTCTTTAGACCCAAAGGTCGCGGACTTTATTTTCAAAACGGTTCTAAAAGGATTGTTATCTAAGCGGATTGTGGTTATGGTCTCACGCAAATACTCAAATGAAGCCGACTTCATTGTGAAGTTAGACAAAGGTATGCAGTTAAATATGCAGTTAGAGAATTGCGTTATTCGAATGACGTCCTAACGTGGTGATTCAGTACGAGCCCCCCCCCACTTTATCACGTAATAGCGTGCATTAAAAAAGTCGTATCCCACGTTATTACGTCACTGGTTGGAATTGGACATGACGATTTAACACAAGCCTATTACTTAATAGGAGACCGTGAAATCTTGTACAAAAGTGATAGCAGTATTTCTATAAATCATTTGTTTTTCAAAAAACCGCATTATGATTCATCATAGTGTACAATAATTTTGCAGGAACGGTTGTTGCTCAGGGAACGGTGGATGAGGTAAATCAAATACAGGGAATAAATACTACAAATAAAGTAGATCAGGTGGCATTGCAGACGGATGACGAAAGTCAACATGTGGAAAGGCATGATGATCTGGGAAATGCTGAACAGTTGCGTGAGGCTAAAGAAGATCGACAAATTGGCAATGTTTCCATCAAGACTTACGCAAAGTATTTTATGCATGGAGCCCCTGCGATCTTTCTTGCACTAATTTTATTGCTAATTGGAGCCGGGAAAGGTAAGTCACGAGGAGCAGGGAAACTGTCCTTGTAAAATGACACCCCTGCTAGTCATTGCTTCGCGACGCGTGTTAACTAGCGAGCTTTCCTTTATACTGCAAAAAACGGTCAGACCGGTCCTGTTGTATTTCGGGTCCAGACAGAGCTAGTACTAGTATTTTAGAGCGTTTCAACGACTCTATATTCACGTATATCGTTATTTACATCCGCCTAGCACGGGTAATGCAGTTTCACCGCTATATTCTTAACGAAATACTCGATTTGAATTCAATTTGATCGATCCTGACCATTCTGGATAGCGCCCATAGTTGTAACTCTGATAAGTAGTTGTCACGTAAACACATGTAAAACAACCTATAACGACCAGCCTAGCACAAAGGTGAAAATGTGCGCCTTTTTAGTTCTTACGCGCTAAATTCATGCCGTAAATAGAAGTATAATATATAGAGGTATTGATTACCAAAATTCGTCCACTACAGTTTGTTTCATCCGCATAGGATTCTTCAGGTGGTTGACAAATAACGAGACGATGCCACTTAAATAGTTTTGGTCGTAACGTGGGTGGGAGATCTACCACGTAAAATTCCTATACGGATAAAACAGACTGTAGTGGACGATTTTTGGTAAGCAGTACTTCTATATCTGCTCTATGTAGTATTGAGCACTCTCTAGTATTTTAGTATATCTCGTATACCAAACGACATATATTTACTGATTATTGACCGAGCGTGAGGTCTGTACTGTGAAATATCAGACCGAGGTTTTTTAGTATGGAAACCAATAGAGAATAGAGGATCTTGAAAAGCCATAATTATAAATATGACTTCAACGGCCTACAAATGGCTTGGTATCATAGGAACAACATTGTTTTGGATAGAGAGGGGGTAGATACTACGTGTAATGACCGTGTCTCAATAGTTTTTGCACATGATTGTAGATACTTGACATTTTTAGACAAAAATGTTCTACGTGTTTACCATACTCACCCTGACGGGCATATTCAAACCTAAGAAAGAAACCTTTCCCTCAATATATACCACAGATAGCTATACAGGGTGTATCAAAAAAAATGTCCCAAATGTAAAATTTCCGTTTTTCAGGATATTTTGCAGAATTTGGCAAATGTTTGTGTTCCTAGAGATAGTTAAGACTTATCTGGTATACCTAGGCCAAGTTTGGTTTTTCATTAACAAAATTATGTTACCGGGGGGGTGGTTCCTTTCCACTGATATTGAGAGGGCTTGCGCGCGAAAATGTGAAGCTGAAATTGAGATATTATTTAGCTGTCTAAAAGTAGGAAAGCTTTTTAATAAACTGTCAAAGTTTCAGGAAAAATAATGCAAACTGGGAGCAACGCGCGACCCCTAAAAGTGACAAATATTTCATTGCGCGCAGTGGATTAAATGCATCGTTGATTTTAGCGTGACCGATCTCATGCAAGGCTGGGCAAATGAATAAATTAAAGCGAGAAACTGAACAAGAAGACGAAGCGATTTAATTATAAGATTCTTTATCTTGATGTTAATCCTCAACATTTCCACCATTTCTTTCTAAGCAAACTGCGGCTCGTCTGAGCATGGTAAACACTGAACGGCGAACCACATTTGTCTGTCCTGCCTCAAATTATCCATTTCGTTCGAAATGCTTTCTTGCAAATCTCCTACGCTACCACCGGCAAATCTAGGCGAACGGGCAGACAAATGGTTCGCTGCTCAGTGTTTAGTATGCTCAGACAAGCCGCAGTTTGCTTAGAATGAAATGGTGGACATGCTGAGGATTAACATCACGAATAAATCGCTTTGTTTTTGTGTTCAGTTTCTCGCTTTAATTCATTCATTTGCCCACCTTGTATGAGATCGGTCACGCTAAAATCAACGATGCATTTAATCCACTGCGCGCAATGAAATATTTGTCACCTTTAGGGGTCGCGCGTTGCTCCCAGTATGCATTATTTTTCCTGAAACTTTGACAGTTTATTAAAAAGCTTTCCTACTTTTAGACAGCTAAATAATATCTCAATTTCAGCTTCACATTTTTGCGCGCAAGCCCTCTCAATATCAGTGGAAAGGAACCACCCCCCCGGTAACATAATTTTGTTAATGAAAAACCAAACTTGGCCTAGGTATACCAGATAAGTCTTAACTATCTCTAGGAACACAAAAATTTGCCAAATTCTGCAAAATATCCTGAAAAATGGAAATTTTACTTTTGGGACATTTTTTTTGATACACCCTGTACAGTACTGGTTTTCATGAAATATTTTTACCTCCTAGGTTTGACAACATATATTGACTTTCGAGTTTCATCAATGCCGCTTTTAACGGGACAGAAAGACGAGTTACACAAAGCGTTTATTTCGTACCCACTTTATTTAATTCCTGCAGTGTTTGTTACTATGCTTTCGTATTCTTGCATTTGCCTTTTACCTATTCGAGCAAGTTACAACATCCACGGGAAGATGATAACGCGCCTTCTTCGAGCCCCTATCCATTTTTTCGCAGTGAACCCAGCTGGTCGAATCCTCAACAGATTCTCTCAGGACATCAACAACTTAGAAGATCTTCTGCCGTATAATATGATGTATTTCTTCAAGACTATGGCATTATCCTTGACAGCTATCGTTCTGTGTGTTATGACCAACATTTCTCTATTGTTACCTGTCCTCGTCACAATAATCATGTGTTTCGCCGTGTCAAGGTTTTTCTTCAAACCAGTAATGGACATAAAACGTCTAATGTCGGAAGCTAGCGGTCCATTGTATTCCCATTTCTCGAACACTCTGGAGGGACTGAGGATTATTCGTGTACACAATAGACAAAAGGAGTTTATAAAGGTTTTGTTCAGGTATTTTTTATTTCCAGGTTGTTATATTAATAAATGCCCTATTTAATATAAGCATAAGGCCCAGTTCACACATCGCATTTTAGTCGCGTCGAATGCAATTCAAACTATACAGGGTGTCTCAAAAAACGAAAACTATTGAAATCACTCATTCTTAAAATCTGAATGCCGTCTTCACGAATTTCAGCCTGGGGGGATTTAATGCAACTTATAAAATGCTAAATGCTTTGTGTTGCTAGAGAAAGGGGACATGTCGAAGGTCATGGTCCTTGAGATGCACATTTAAATGTTGTTATCCATATTTTTAAATTGTAAATATTGTTAATAAATATCATTTTTGCGTACAGGCAAATTTTACTGCATCATATACATACATAAAAAAATATACACCTGTGGGTACTAAAAGAGTGCTTAGGCATTCAAACTCTAGCAATTATGGGTGATTTCAATAGTTTTTCGTTTTTTTGAGACACCCTGTATAGAAAATGAGATGATAAACCTCATTTAGCCTCATTACCATCTCATTAACTATTGTTTGAATTGCATTCGACGCGATCAAAATGCGACGTATGAACTGGGCCAAAGGGCCTAATTCCACGGGCGCTTTTTCTCGGCGAAATATTTCGCCTATTTCTTTTAATTTTCGACCACTTGAATAAATCGTTCTGCTTCATTGCTCACAATTCAAAAAAAAGAAGACGAAATATTTTGCATTTCGCTTGAAAATTTAGCTCGTGGAATTAGAGCGTAAGTGCTATTTTGTATATTCGACGCACTATAAAAAGCGTTTCTCAATTTAGTCTCACCGACCGTCACCATCAATGTATGTTTGCATACTACACGGCGGCGCGCTGGTTTGGACTTGTCATGGATTGTATTCTCTTAATCTTTTTGATTGCGATCGTGATAACCGTGTTCGTTACAGTAAAGGATTCGTCTACTCCAGGTTGGATTCATGACACTGAATTATGTTCATGTTTTTGCCCTTCATATGTTTTATCATTACATTATTTTATAATGTGCCCAACGAAATAATATTACATGAAGGTGTGAAACTTCGTGGGTTGTGTTATCTTCCAGCATTAGTCCCGACTAGAGTTTGGTGCATAAAAAAGCCCTTGAGTCCCACGGGCGTCAATCGAACGTTAATTGAGGGGCTCATATTCATTTATTCTGTTATGCCAGGCTGATTTTTATTGAAAGTAAAATTGTTTTTAAGATAAATTAGCTAGGCATGGCAGAATATATAAGTATGGTCCACCCCAATTAACGTTCGATTGACGCCAATGGCCTTGACATATTAACGTTTTTACATGTTACAGTTACAATGCTTCTCTTCTTACATTTCAGTTATTGCTTCTTTGGCCATTATGTATTCATTTCAAAGTTCCGCCTATGCAGCAGCTGCGGTTCGAAGTGCTGTCGAAGTACAATCGCAAATGACATCTGCTGAACGAATCCTTGCTTATACGGAAATAAAGCCAGAAAAAGGAGATGAAATCCAAGAAGAACCACGTAAAGAGTGGCCAGAATTTGGAAAAATACAGTTCAAAGATGTTTTTTTCCGTTATTACGAAAATGGGCCGGTAGTTTTGAAAGCTTTATCGTTCCAGATAAATGGATCGGAAAAGATTGGTGTTGTGGGAAGGACAGGTGCTGGTAAATCTTCTATAGTCGCTGCCCTCATGCGAATTGGAGAAATTGAAGGAAGTATTTTTATCGATAATGCTGACATTGCTTATTTCAATCTACAATCAACTCGAACACGCATTTCTGTCGTTTCTCAGTCACCTGTGCTTTTTAACGGTACAATCAGAGAGAACTTGGATCCAACAGGTAAATTCGACGACTCTGAAATCTGGAAGGTTTTAAATCAAATGCAATTGGGCATTCTTGTTGAAAGTCTGCCAAACAAGTTGGACAACATATGCACTGGCAGTGGTTCGAATTTTAGTATTGGTCAACGACAGCTTTTGCATCTTGCAAAAGTTTTATTACAACGAAATAGCATTATCGTTTTTGATGAAGCCTCTGGAAAAGTTGACAAGAAAACTGCTGAACAAATTTATGAAGTTATTTTTAACATGTTTAAAGGTTGCACAATGATAATCATCTCGCATCGAATGGCTACAGTAAAGAAGTGTGATAGAGTTATGGTTTTAGATCATGGCGCTATTGTTGAGTTTGATAAGCCGAACGTTCTGCTCGATAAGAACGGATTCTTTGCAGAACTCGCTAGAATTAGTGAAGAAAAGTCAAACGAAAATGTGACGAAGATTGATCAATGAATAAGTCTAATGAAGATATGACGAAGATGGATCAATGAATTATTCTGTGCATCTCAATGCACCACACGAGATGCATCACACTCGCTGTTTAATAAAAGTATGGCAGTGTGTCTCCCAGAACGATTTTATTTGATCTTTGTGCATTTTTTGAATTCTTAACTGTATAGATGCAGGAAGGAATAGTTACCAAGAGCCAGTGATCAGCATAACTTAAATCTATCGATTTTAGTGAGGTCTATTTCTAAGAATCTCATCATCAGCGGTAGAGAAAGCTTCATAAAGGTAGAAAACATTGCTTCCTTGTATATATCTAGACAATTTGAAAAGTGAATGAATGCATTCCAAGTTCTTGCATAAGAACGTGAATATTAGTCTATATAGTAACCTCTCCATTTGCTACCAACTTTCGTAAATATGCTGTCCTCAATTTATCAGGAAATGTTTATTGAGCTCGTAGATGAGTCACTTAAAACTTCGTTTTGGATGTTATCCGCACCTTGATTGCCCTAGTCATTAAGTGCGGCAGTGTCGTCCATATAGCGCTAAATTTGAATATATATGAATGTTTTCAAATTGCTAAAGAGAAATATATGTTATTTACGGCTTTGGTCGGGCCGTATTTGTTGATATTTTGCTAATTATTTTCATTTGCTACATCATACTAATATTAATATACACAAAAAGACGAAAAACACACATGATACATGGAATGATGATGGCTGGGTAGCCACAACAGCGTTAGCCAATTACTGCATGCATGTCCGCACAGACGGACGGACGGATTGATTGGTAAAATAATGGGAACTATAAGTGGAAGAAGTTAAAAGCAACATTTAGGTGCTGTTGAGATGCCCCCAGCAGTATTGCATTTCAAACAGATGCTCTTCCATGTGTGTGGGTTTTCTGGGTGGAAGTATTTTGGAGCGCTGTCACGTAGTAGTTTTTTCTTGAAAATGTTGCAAGTATAGAAATGTTTGATGTTATATGATCATGCAGGTAGGATATTCCCGGTTCTCGTTGAGCGAATTATAAATGAAGAAGAAGGTTTTTTGGTATGTAGAAGATTTGCATCTCTCAACAGTGTATTTTAGGCAATCGGGATTGGAACTGGTAAGAGGTCTGCATGGGTTGAGAAACATCGAAGACATGATGAAATTCAATTGAAGACATCGGTTAATTACCACGACCAAAACATAGACGAGATGCTATTTGCTTCTGATATCGCGACACCTAAAAGCCAATGTCAAGCGACCGAAATTTAACTTCCCTTGTGGCAGAATTTAAAATCTCCTTAACGCAAAGACATTTGCATACTTAATGCGTGTTAATTAAGGCTGTTTTCCACTTACACGTCTTTCACACGCTCGTACACGTGCGTAGTGAGTCAAAATTCTTATACATGTTACCTTCGAAAAAACTAAGTAAATAAATCGAAGGAACGTAGTTTTCTGCATTTTTTAATTTTTTTAGTATGCATTAGTTGACCTAGATGTTAAATAATAAAAATTTAAAAGCCTTTAAAATTTTCCGTACGTGTACGTGCGTATAAAAAACGCGTAAAGGCGGATTTCCACTTACAGCGAAATCGTTCGCTAGCGAAATATTTGCATATTTTCTTTTAAATTGAGAACAGTCAAGTCGAACTAATTGATTTATGCTGTTAAAATTCAAAAGAAAACATGCAAATATTTCGCTGGCGAACGTTTTCGCTGTAAGTGGAAATCGGCCTTAAGTAGAAAGCAGCCTTTACGCCTTTTATCTACATGCAGTCAAACATCGCTCGGTTATTGTTATTTAAGACTGGACTTGTAATTACAAATTGACAGACATTCGACACAAATTTTGCAGGTCAAAGGAAAGTATTGACCCTTAACGCCTTAATCATAGAGACATAGACTTTGTATTTATACCCCGCACTTGCGAGCCAAATCCAGCCAATACTGCTAGAGCGTAGGCGTGTTGTCTCGCTTTAATTTTAATGCAGCTCTGCATTCGAATAGAATGAAATTGAACGGTGATGGTGATGTACAATAAGTCACTATCTATCTATAACTATTTATACACATTGCAACAATTATAATCTTGAACTGACCGACTTAGTTCTCGATATTGACCTATTGAGAGCTGACGAGCAACCGGCAACGATTTGTGCGCATTTCTGTCGTCAGCTTGGCATGAAACTTCTAGATTTTCCATACTCAGGTAGCAAGTATACAGGCTGCTTTCACTGATCCTGTAGGACACACAGAATCAGTGGCGTAGCCAGCCTGACGATTTAGTCATGCAATGCAAATTTCATGTTATTATCATTATTCATTTCTTTAGAAATTCATTGTTTTCACAGTCAATGAACACCAAAATATTAGCATAGCATGACTAAATTGTCGGGCTGGTTACGCTACTGGACAGAATTATATGAGACAAATATAATTCATATGAATTAATCTCAATTTTGCATTAAAATTATGATAACAAGTACGATCGTACTATAGGGACCAGGGACTGCGTAACCGAGTTTAATTTCTGAACTGCATTGTATTTATAACAATGGAGAGGACAATGTATTTCTAATCGTTTCCGTTTACCTTTATATAGGCTGAATATTAATGATATGTATATATTATTTGCTGCAAATATATCAAGAATTGCTTGTAACTTGCTTCAAAGGTCAAAAGTAAAAATTCGAACTCCGTCAATCGATGCGGCCGGAATATTGCTTAGAATAATTGTGCCAAGTTTCATTCCGATCAAACAAGTAATGACATAGAGCCTTAGGGTTTTTTTAAAGAGCGTCGCCCCCTAACAAGAAGAAGAAGAAGAAGAAGATTAGCAGCGGTTAGGGACCAGTTCCTGGTCCAAAAATCATGCATGTTGTGAAACCATTAAAACGAAACTTTATTTTCTTTTATATCCAATATAATTTTAATACAATTATTCATACTTTATGTCCGTGTGCTTTTACAGAGATCAACGAAAAAAGCCGTCAAAAATCGAAGTAGGGTCGGCATTTTAATTCGGTGCATGCATGGTTTTGTTCATCGAGAAGAAAAAAATCGTGACGATTTAGTCATGCTATGCAAATTTTATATTATTATCATTATTCATTTCTTTTGAAATTCATTGTTTTCACAGTCAATGAACACCAAAATATTAGCATAGCATGACTAAATTGTCGGGCTGGCTACGCCACTGTTTCTCACAACGGCGAATGTGATAAAAAAAACGTAAACGCCTATACATGCATGCATAAACGTCTGCTTTCAAACCTAGCGGTCCTAGCCAATGGCGTACCGCCAGCATTTTATATAAAGTACTCGCTTGTGTTATTCTTTAAAACAAGTTTGCAATAACGTAATTTAATTTTCCGTCGCCGGTGAAAATTGAATCTATGCTTTTACCATCTCTAAAAAAAGCATTCTTCAAAAAAGCTAACCTGACTCTGAAAGGGGGAATATGTTGTTATATAGCGTGTATAGATGACAATTGTCACGAATTACGCGTATGTCACTGCTAAGTGATTGAGGCATTAACGTGATCTTTTAACTAATCATTCATTATCATCGTAATTATTGTAGAAAATAAACGGTAATGTACTTCATCCGAAAACGCGTACATGGTTACATGCAGAAAGTATAATTCAGAAAAAGAAAAGCAGAAACAGGTCCATCCACTGCATGTCTTTAGTCCGTAAACTCCTGCTGTCAGCAGAAGGTTATCAGCTCTGTCATGTTAATTGTGGGTTACTTTGAAATTAAAATAAACCCAAATAACTTTCGCGATTCAAATTGTTTCACTTGTTGTGTGAATTTGAATTGCTAATTAAAATGAATGGGTATATAATTTGCAGGGGTGTGTATGATAATATAAGAAAACTCTGCAATATACTGTTATACATACAGAAACACTCATGACGCTTTTCTAAAAAAACTCTTCGAGCATACTAAAGGTAAATCACAAGATCTTTGTTATTGTCAGGTTTCTTTTAAGACGGTATGTATACACGAAAATTCACCTCTAGTGTTTTAACTGTTTTCTCAACCGTGATGAATACGCCTAGGCGAACTCGATATAGATTTACGCGTTTATGATCAAAATAAAAAAGGGCTAATTCTTGTAAGTACCAGTATCTATAATGATAATGATGTAATTCTTGATATTATTGCTATACTTTTAGTCAACAGATTCGCCACACGAAGGGCTAATTTATTGCTACAGCAAGTTACGCTCGAGGACAACCGCCCACTCTTCCATTTAACATGTTTCAAATTTAATTATAACAAAGTTGGTAACCTTCTTGCGACCAGCGGCGTAGCCAGAACGATAATTGGGGGGGTCCATATTCATATATTCGTGATATGCAGGATTAATTTCTTTTCAAATCAATTGTCTTTACAGTCTGTTTACATGAATATATGAATATGGACCCCCCCCAATTATCGATGCTGGCTACGCCAGTGCTTGCGACAAAAATCTTACGAGAATTTTGTTGTTACAATTGTTAGAACTTTCACGTTATTCAAGGAAGGTGCAATATACTGAAAGATATTTTCTTCCCCAAGGCTGTTACCATATCGAATATTCTATATATTGATGCGAGAGTGAGCAAATGTAATGTAAAACGGCCTTGAAGTTGGACCACACGAGATGACAGAAATTATGATTGGCTGCATGAGGAACCAGATAGCGGGTTCGTACTTTAAATTTTTATAATATAACTGAAAAAATGTATTCCGGCAAATAAAAACAGGGATACAAAATTTTGGGAATGATTTAAATAGGGGAGCTTTAAGTTATTTTAATTTCTTTATTACCGCCACCAAACGTATCTCTAAAGCCAAGTGCATGTCAATTGACACACACCGCGCATTTAGCCCTAATGCGGATGCGTGAGTTTGAGACGAGTTAAACGGATAACTAGCAAACGTGTGCAAACATACGATTGGCTAAATTAAAATATGGGTTTACGTTGATGGTAAAAAATCTACAAATTTGGAGCATTTTTTTAGCGTTTTAGACCAGATAAATGGTTATATAAGTTTTGTATTTTAAAGCATGCCAGTATTTTGTAAGTTTAATATGTGGATTTATCAAAAATGTATTACACCTCTTTGAATTTATTCGTGAAATTTGTTAAAATTATTTTGATTGGGAAAGCATTTATTCTTAAAGGTGAATTTGTTTAAAAAGATTGAAATTTCGCTGAAAATTGTAGTGTTTAAAACTATTTGTTGCACAATTATGATTATAGTTGAATTTGTTGCTCGAGAGACGATTTTATAATTCGGCCCGCTGTGAAATGCCTCCGGCCCGCTGTGAAATGCATTCGGCCCGCTGTGAAAAATGTAAACAAAACGACAAAACCAAAACAACATTCGGCTAAAATGTCTGAAAACCTTTCTGGAAAAGGCTAAAAGACTGTTAAAAATAAAAAAACATACCCGACAAACTTCTTAGTTTGGATGATTTTACGCCTTTTTTCGTCTGTCAATACGTTGTTATTTTAATAGATTTGCCGTGATTTAGTTGCTATGGTAACAGCCATATGGTAACGGCCGTTTTCGAAACCTTGGGCACAGTTTTTTGCATCCGGACCTCGCAGCCGGTAAATAACATTGTAATGTATTTACATGACATTTTCGTATTCCTAGGCGGTGCAATGAAACAATGAGCAACACGAAAGTTCATCCTCAAGATAACGCCAACTTCATTTCCAAAATAACATTGTGGTGGGTTTTTGACCTGCTGAGGAGAGGAAACACAAGTCCTCTTAATCATGAGAATCTTTATCCTATTCGAGGGGAGTATTGTGCTCAACATCGAATCAAGCGCTTGGAAAAGGTTTGGACTGATGAAACGAATTCAGCAAAACGAGAAAATAGACGACCAAAACTTTGGAAGGCAATGCTGAAATATTTTACCTGGAGAGAATACGGACTTTTATGCTTTCTGACTTTTTATTTCATCGCGGGAAATATTTTCTATCGGTATTTCGTTTTGAAGCTAATAGTTTCGTTGAGGAGTTATAGAGTTACCCATGAAATCCGCAAATCCAGAAGTGTGAATCTTGTCTACGTATGGGGAATGATTATTGGATTCTTAGTTCAGAAGTTTAGCTCACGACATATTAACTTGGTCACACCTGTTCTGGGAATGAAGGCGAGAGCGGCTCTGATAGGCTTGATTTATCAAAAGGTAAAAACTTCGAAATAAAGTTGTTTTAAAGCTACTAATTGTCTCCTATATGATTATTGTTTAACTGCTATAAGTTGTTCTACCTACAGTTTATACACAGAGCATTCAACACTATCCCAGCTATATCAGTTTAATTAGATACTTTTTGCTATTTTTTCTTGCAGGTGTTGAAATGTAGTAAGGCGATTATATCTGCAGAAGAAGTGATGGAATTGATATGCAACGATACCCAACGTATCGTCTTGATGGCAGACAAATCGTTTCCATACATAATTCGAAAGCTAGTTGTAGCGTTTATATACATCTGTTGGCTTGCATCACTTCTTGAATGGAAAGTTGTTCCTGGTCTTCTCGTATTTGTCTTCTTCTTTGCTTTCCGAATTTTGGTGACGAATGTCGACGTGAATTTACGACGAAATGCTTCTCGTGTAGCAGAGAAACGTCTTGGTTACCTGCGAGAATTTCTTACCAGCATTCATTCCGTGAAACTGAATTGCTTGGAAGAAATCTACGAGAGAAAAATTCAACAGACAAGATGGTATGCTCACAATCTCATTCATGCATTAATGTTCATCACTTCAATAAAATTCTTTGAAAAGCTTCCTTTAACGTAATGTTTATTTTTGGACACCAATTTAAACTTCGATCCGTAAGATTTACATTTTCATCTTTCATATTCTATTTAGGCAAGAAATCAAGTTTAAAGCGAAGCGCTGGATCATATTGTCCATCAGTCTAACTTTCAACGTGTGTGGACACCAAATTGGGACTTTCTTGACAATTATGGTGCTTCTTCTTACCGACAGATCCATGCTTACATTTTGCGCCATATTTACATTGATGTTGCTTTTTTTAGGCCTAAGTAATACGATTCTCCTTAGCACTCCACTCGCCATTCATTTCACCACCGATATAATGACAGCACTTTATCGGATACAACTTTTCTTTGAACGTGCCGAAGTTGTGCAGGTCGCAATAAACGCAAATCATTTTTACGAAGGCGATGGTTCAGCATTTGTACGAAAATCAGCCCAGGAGACGAGCAAGGCGTCGCAGGCTGTTAAATGTTCACCGCACATTTCACTAAATAATCTTTCAAGTAAATTACCTAAATTCAATAATTTAAATCATTTAGATGACGACGGCTTGCCAATGTTGAATAGTATTTCTTTAGAAAGATCATCGACGGGGTTGACCATCATTACCGGTTCGGTAGGCAGTGGAAAATCCTCACTGTTAGCTAGCATTCTCGGTGAAGAGCTTCCCATAACCAGTGGCTTTTTAGAACGTTCTGGAAGTATTGCGTATGTTTCCGATAAACCTTGGGTGTTTCCAGGAACCGTTCGTGAGAACATTTTGTTTGGTAAACCATATGACAAAGAGTGGTACTACGAGACTGTTAGAGCATGTCAGTTAGAAGATGATTTTATACGACTGCCGGCAAACGATCTGTCAGGTATTGGAGAAAACGGTGCGACACTAAGTGGAGGACAAAGCACACGTATTGCATTGGCACGTGCTGTTTACTCGAGAGCGGATATATACTTGCTGGACGATCCATTCACTTCTTTAGATGTCAAGGTAGCAGAAAAAATTTTCAAAAGTGTCCTGAAAGGAATTTTATCGGAAAAAATTGTACTCCTAGTCTCCCATAAATATTTCAGCGAAGCTGACTTCATTGTGAAAATGGATAAAGGTAAGCAGGAATGACAAAAATGGCTCATATTCATCATCATATTTATAACTCGCCCCTTTTGTGATAATGTATAATAATGTAATCAACCTGATTACATTGAAAATGTGTACCAGGGCAACAATAAGCTTCACATGAACTATATTTCTATTCTTGTATGCTTCTGTAGGTATGATTGTTGCTCAGGGAACAATAGATGAAGTTAAAACAAGGATGCCCGAACTTAAGATTCAGGATGAGAAAGATCGAAGGTATATGGAGAATGATGGCGAATTTCAGCTTCCAAAAATGGACAGCAGTATAGCACATGCTGTAAAATTTCGGGAATCTATGGAAGATCGCGAAGTTGGTCGTGTTTCCTTCAGAGTCTATGCGCAATACCTGAGGCACGCAGCTCCAGCGTTTATGCTTCTCCTGATATTATTGGTGACTGGAGCAGCACAAGGTACATATGCCGTAATTACGCCGAAGGTTAATTTTGGTGTCGCAATGTCATTTCTAATTAATAATCAACTCTCACTAGAATATTTGGTAAATTCAAGAAATAACGGTAGATAAGATGACCATGCAGATTCGTTTGAACACATTAACCTATTGGATTGTAGCGTTTCTATTACACGCATGGAACTTCACGTGCTCGGGTTCTTCGCTTTTTGACTTTTTGGCAGAAAAAAATAAAGAAGAAATATTGAAACCTTAAACCTTATTCAATATACAAATATTGGTCGTTTTTTGCATGATCATCCGGGGCGTGATATGGCGTCGTTTTAAAAAATTAACTTTATTAATTTAAATGTCAAACTTTAATTCAATTCCAATGTTATTCTATAGGTGGTCTAAGCACATGGGTCGATATCCAAACTTCGTCATTACCAAATATAATAGAACAGAAAGAAAAGTTACAGAGAGCGTTAGTGGTGTATCCTATATACGTGATTATCTCTGTATTGATCACAATGCTGGTAAAATTTTGCATTTTCCTTTTACCGATTCGAGCAAACTACAAAATCCATAACCACATGACGACTTGTCTTCTCCGCGCTCCGACTGAATTTTTCGCTGTGAATCCGACCGGTCGTATCCTCAACAGATTTTCACAAGACATGACTAATTTAGACGATCTTTTGCCATATAATTTGGCGTACTTGGTTCAATGCACGATATTGATACTGACAGCCGTGTGCTTAGGTATCGTGGCTAACAGCATTCTAACGCCGGTGATTTTTCTTATAATCATCATATGTTATGGAGTGTCAAGATTTTTCTTGAAACCGGCTATGGACATTAAACGTCTAATGTCTGAAGCTGGGGGTCCGCTGTATTCCCATTTTTCAAACACCATAGAGGGACTGAGGATTATCCGTGTGCATAAGAGGCAGGAAGAATTTACCAGTGTTTTAATAAGGTAATGAATAATTACTATACTCAAGAAATTAACACTGATACTCGGTTGATAAATCAGAAAATTATAGGCACAATTAATAGTTTGCTAAATTCTTTAAAACAATGCGAATGCACATCATCTCTCACATTTAATACCAACCCTTGCTTTATCGCCTATTTTGATTCTAAATAAGCGGAGAATGTAGCAGGGCAAGTGTCGCATCCAAGAGAAAGGGAAGGTCGCGGTGCAGTGGATGCCATTTCTTAAGAACGATAATCAAGATATAATAAATGTGTGATTGTAGGTCTGTCTTTAATTATTTCCGTTCCACACCTGAAAATATTTTTAGCTTGGCGTGATTATTTTCGTCATATAAATTTTTTGGTGGTGCAACTTATTTTCTCCTGCGCAGTCAGCACACCCACCCCCAATGAGTACCCCTTTTTGATAATCAATGTTCTATTATAATTCTATTGCTTGTATATACTGTTACTGCATCGGTGCTTGCTATTGTTTTAAGTAACTTAACACGTGTCACGTTGAAGGTTATCACTGGGAATTGTCATATAGTCTAATTGTCAATATATAGGCCAGTCATAAGTTCGCGGCTTATTTGAATATGAAAGGCATCACTTTTTTTCTACTCACCATGTTTAGCATTAAAGCCAGTTAATTACAAAATATTTTTGCACAAAACTTTCTATTTAGTCTCATTGACCGTCACCATCAAGCCATGTTTGCTTATTACTCGGCCTCTCGGTGGTTTGCACTCATAATCGATGTTATCCTGGTAACTTTCCTGACTACTTTCGTAACTATTGAGTTGTATTTTGTTAAAGATTCTTCAACTGCAGGTTAGTAATGTAACAAATAAAACCGTATTATTTTGTAGTACATATAGGCGTGTTTGCTTTGCTAAAACCTCCTCTTTTTTCACCAAAAACGGTTTCATGGTAACAACTGCAGGACAGCTCTTTTTGAAAATTTTTATAGAGCCAAAAAATTGCTATTGCAGAAAAATACGCTATATTTTTTCAAAGAAATAGCTCGATAAATTTTTTTAAATTTCGTATTCCGGCTTTATGACAACAATTCATGAAATGAAAACTAGGCTTTTTTCCCGTGTAATTCTTAAAAGATCAAAATCAGCAATGCAATATTGAAATGACATTGTTATAGCTATCTGTTAGCACCAACAATAACTTCGGTTTTAAATTTGAAAGGAGCTATTTTAACGTCAAATTGAAAGCGAATAAAAAGTGTTGTTAAAAAGTAATGTGTTAAGTGTTGTTAAATAATTCTGTTTGCATTTTAGCTATCGCTTCCGTGGCTATTCTGTACACATTTCACAGTGCTATGCATGTGGCAGAAGCTATTCGCAGTGCTGTCGAGGTACAGGCTTTGATGACCTCCGCCGAGAGAGCTCTTGCGTATACAAAAATAAAGGCTGAAGCAGGAAACGGAATCGGTGACGAACCACCTGACGATTGGCCAGAATTCGGTGGGGTTGAATTCAAAAATGTTTCCTTGTCGTATTATGAGAAAGGGCCTAAGGTTTTGAAAAATGTATCTTTTCAAATCCAAAGAGCAGAAAAAATCGGCGTTATTGGGAGGACAGGTGCTGGTAAATCGTCTATGGTCGCCGCACTCATGAGAATTGCAGAAACCGAAGGAAGTATAATTGTAGACAATCGGGATATTGCATATTTAAATCCACGAACGACTCGTCGACGTATTTCTGTCATTTCACAATCACCTGTCCTTTTCAACGGATCTATCAGAGAAAACCTAGACCCAATGGGTGAACACGACGACTCCGAAATATGGAAGGTTTTGGATCAGATGCAGATGAGCCATCACGTGGGAAGTCTACCAAACAAGCTGGGAAATGTCTGCACTGGTGGTGGTTCAAATTTTAGTGTTGGTCAACGACAGCTGCTCCATCTTGCGAGAGTTTTGTTAAAGGCAAACAAAATTATCATTTTTGATGAAGCTACGGGCAAAGTCAGCAAGGACACTGCTCAGAAAATTCACGAGGTTATTTTTGACAATGATAAAGAATGCACAATGATAATTATCACGCATCGTATGGACGCGATTAAAAAATGCGACAGAATTATGGTTTTCAATCAAGGTTCCATCGTAGAATTTGATAGGCAAACCGTTCTGCTTGACCGAAAGAACGGATTCTTCGCGGAATTCATGAAAATATCCTGTGTGCGCGATAACAAAATCGTTCTATCTGTTTCGAAATAGTTTAGGCGTTGTTGTCACCGTTTCGATGACAACTTCAAAAACTTCTTTTGACATTATAGAGCTATATAGTTCTATTAGCAAATGCTTATTAGTTTGATAGATTTGGTATAAATATCTCTCGGTAAAGACCGAGCAGGTTAATAAAAGTTTATGAATCTGCTATTGTGAAAAGCGGTAATAACACATTTTCGATTCTCGTGTTTGATCCACCAATAAGGAGCAGGTATAACGAGCATTTTTGTGATTAGTTTTTGTGGATAGCCGCTGTGCATGCTAAAGCAATTTTTCTTGCAACTTGCATGAGTTGCAAGTTCATGAAGTGTAATAAACACAAAAGTTTCGTTGTTTCCAAATGCACATCTCTCAAAAGTAGAATTGCATTGCAAGTTGCAAGAAAAATTGCACCATGTAACAGGACCTCAACAACTATGTAGTTGAAAAAGTGTATGTGTATGACTGAGGCCGGTTGCATGTATGAAAGCCGGATAGCCCCATCAACCAGATAGTATTTTTTTCAATCGCTTTAAAATCGTCCGTTGTTTGCTATAATTTTGATTAAATCTTAGTGTTTCTAAATCAAGGATAATCTTTATTAATTCTTGATTCTGAAGATGAAATTTTATCGCTTTTAGAGCATTTTTAACTCAGTTGGACTTATTATCATAGGTTGTTCACGATACGATTGTAGTAGCAGTAAATTTAGAGTTCTGCCAGGAGCATCTTGTGCCTTTTTCAGGAAGATGACAAAGCGACATAAAGCCGATATGTCAAAAATGTCACTGATATCGCTTTCTGTCCCTCGCTTTCAATGTCACTGATATCGCTTTCGTGGACCCTCGACCGTCGATATCTCACTCGGCTTCGCTTCGTGAAATATCGACAGGTCTCGGATCCACAAAACATAATGCCTCCATCGGTCTCAGTAAATAAGTATTAGGGACCTTAAGCATGTAGGACGGCAACACGACGACGACGTAGTTGAAATACTCCTTTAAATAAATGTTATGATAAAGCGTTCTTCTATATTATCAACTGTACAATTTAGGGACAATTCTATAGAGCCTAATTCGAGGTAGCGCTCACTTAATTGGTCCTGAAATGCAGACGTTCTACATAGGACGTAATAAACGACGTTCTGCCGTTGTAAACAGAACGTAGATCACGTCTAAAACTCCCATAGGTATATCTAAAAATTCATTTCTTCAATGGAGCATTGTATTGATAGCTGCCGTCGTTGTGTTCCCGTCCTACGTGCTTAAGGTTTCTATTAATTGTTGAACAACGGTTGCTCGAAGTGTGATGCCTGACTAGTTTGAAATTTATTTGTTCATTCCGATGTCGTTGAGTAGAAAGGCTGACAATGAATTGAAGAACTTTTTCGTAAACGAAAGGTTCGTCCTGAAAACAACGCGATGATGCATTGTTACTATCACTATTACCAGCCTTCTACTGCAGCTCCAAGATGGCTAATTCAGATTACCTGCATGCGTTATCTCAGTTAAAGGTGGCTCGAAGTTTGATGTCTTATTAGTTTGAAATTTTTTAGTCATTCCGAATCGAAGTTATAATACGGCACTGATGAGAGTATTGGGTTAAAAATGCATTAAAAGAACGATTTGGGGATGTAGATAAATTAAAGCTTCGTCCTCAAAAAAGCCTGATGATGCATTGTTAATATCACTATTACCAGCCTTCTACTGCAGCTTCAAAATGGCTAATTCAGATTACCTGCATGCGTTATCTCAGTTAAAATGTTACGAATTAGTGTTAGTGTTAGTTCACAAAGGAATGTTGGAATGCATAATGCCGGTTCGCAGGCTGAACAGTAAACACCCGAACACGGGCGGAAAGCAGTGATTATCATTAACCAGTGCATGAGCTCTACATATATATTCCGTGAGGCCAAAAAGTGCTAAGTAAATTTTGATATTTTGATATTACATGTCTTTTGATATGTAAATTGTAGTACAATTTAAGCCGGTTTTCCACTAGCGATATTTTTCGCGCGAAGCGACTTTATTCCTTTGTATTTGAGCAATTTGTTCCAGATGGTTGCAGTTGAGAGCTCTGAAACAAAAGTAAAATGTCGCTTCGCGCGAAAAATATCGCTAGTGGAAAACCGGCTTTACATACGACCGACGTGAAGCGAAGAAAACATATACTGACGTGAGCATGCGCATACTATCTTTGTCTGATGCATTCCATTGGTCTAATAGTGGCAGTGACGAAATAGAAAATTCCCTTTTTTGATTACTCGGGCAACCGTAGGTAAAGCGAATTGAGAAATATGCTCTGTTTTTTCTTTTATAATGTGCTATAGGTTTTTCGAAAAGTAAGCGTGGGCGGCACGAAGTCTTTGAACGAATCGAAATCGTCCTAGCTAGGATCGTTTCTCGCGCGGGTGTCACGAACATGCCAAGCCCGAATGAATGCCTGAACTGGCGTCTTGTTCAATTTAAAGAATTTGAACTGATTATCATCGTACTAATTCATGGTTGCACACATATACATATAATAATATTAATAAAAAGAACTAATCACTGTTCCTTTGGATGAATTCCGTGAGATCAATGTAGTCTCTTGTCTATTTAACTCTATAAACGAGATAGGAATTTCGGAGGCTGCACCATAAAATAATAGACTCTTTCATGATGTCAATCTTTATTTTCAAATGCGACACGCATGATAGGCTGCCTAAGCTTTTTCAGATTGTTGTAATAACAATTGTCAGCGTAACTGAGAACGGAAATGATGAATATAACCATGTAATATATACTACCATGTAATATCAAACTACATGTATATGCTTGTTGCCAAATAACTATACTAGTTATACCCATTGAAATACATTCTTAACTATCGTACTTTTTTCCGACCTATTTTTAAATACATCATTAATTCTTGTACTTTACTTTGACTTCACTTCATTTAAAATACAAAACAATCGCACCGTAACCATGCATTAGTTTCACTTGGGCCGCATTTAACCAACTTATGGAAAGATGGTGCTGTAAGGCGCCCGATCCTGTATGTGATATTATAGCGATGACACAAATGGCTAATAATAAGTTACAAGCTACGAATAAGATACAGTGTCTGAGATTTAAGAAAATAAATCATGAATATCAAAGTGAACTCAATTAAATTGTTATTTCATTTGAGATCCTACCAAAAGGTATTAAGTTTCGTCAAAAAAAAAGATTAAGTAAAATAAAAAACTGTAGGCTTACTACAAGAACTGGTGGTGTAGTGGTGAAGACGGTGATCTGCCAAGTATATGGTCGATGGTTCAAGTCCTGCATAAACCGAAAAAGAAAAAGGTAATAAAGTGAGAATTTGTGAGTGTGAGAGGAGTAGAACGAGAGGGCGAATATGCCCTCGCCTCGTGCGAGGAGTAGACTGAGGGGGGTTGTCTTTCCCCCGCCTTTCATAACTTTCAAAGCAAGCTTTCTTCAAACATTTATTTGTGTTAGGGGATAGTTAGGGATATCTGAGGATAGGAAAAAGTAGGGATAGATAGAGGTAAACAGGAAGATAAATAGGAGTAAAGAGGTTTAAATGAGTACAAAAAGACTTAACTTTTTATATACTGTTTTCTCACCTATACCTCTCCTCCTGCCCCCGGGAGCTCGGGCTGCTCAATTACTAAGTCTTTTTGTACTCATATACCCCTAATTCACCCAGCCTATACTCTGATTTCCCTAAACATTAATTTTGATTTCCAAAGATTAACAGAGTATAAACCTCCCCCGAAGAATATACCTACCATTTTTTTTCACGCGACGGGAAACGTACCATTCTGTTCTTGATACCTCGATCTTGTGCTTGATAGTCCACGACTTTACCACAAGGCTAACTGGTGATTGTTGGAAGCCTGCACCAATTTATTCTCCATAACCTTACCATGAAATATTAATAATGAGAATTTCCATCTAAAGCGAGATTCGATCCTTCGACAGTCGACACATGAGACCAACATCTGGACCACTAGACTACAAGATCTTCTGCTGAACGGCTATGGTTATTTAATTTACTTTATCCTTTTCAGGAAGTTCATTATGAAAAATGGTTATGGAAGGATTCGAACCACTAATTCAACGCTTGGTAGACCATTGTCTTCGCCACTCGACAACAAGATCTCGTGCGGATAGGCTATGGTTACTTAATTTACTTTATCCTTTTCACGAAGTTCATGATGAAAAAGGGATATGGTAGGATTCGAACCATCGATTTACCACTTGGGAGACCATTGTCTCCACCACTAGACTACAAGATCTTGTGCTGAAAGGCTACAGTTATTTAATTTACTTTATCCTTTTCACAAAGTTCATAATTAAAAACTGTTATGGTAGGATTCGATCCATCGATTTACCACTTGAAAGACCATTGTCTTCGCGATTAGACAACAAGAATTTGTGCTGAACGGCTATGATATGATCATAATTTAATTAATTTATCCTTTTCACGAAGTTCATAATCAAAAACAGTCATGGTAGGATTCGAACGATCGATTTACCACTTTGGGACCATTTTCTTCGCCAGTAGAATACAAGATCTTTTGCTGGACGGCTATGGTTATTTAATTTACTTTATCCTTTTCACGAAGTTCATAATGAAAAACGGTTATGGTAGGATTCGAACCATCGATTTACCACTTGGAAGACCATTGTCTTCGCGATAAGACAACAAGAATTTGTGCTGAACAGCTATGATATGATCATAATTTAATTAATTTATCCTTTTCACGAAGTTCATAATAAAAAACAGTCATGGTAGGATTCGAACCATCGATTTACCACTTGGAAGACCATTGTCTTCGCGATTAAACAACAAGAATTTGTGCTGAACAGCTATGATATGATCATAATTTAATTAATTTATCCTTTTCACGAAGTTCATAATCAAAAACAGTCATGGTAGGATTCGAACGATCGATTTACCACTTTGGGACCATTGTCTTCGCCAGAAGAATACAAGATCTTTTGCTGGACGGCTATGGTTATTTAATTTACTTTATCCTTTTCACGAAGTCATAATGAAAAACGGTTATGGTAGGATTCGAACCATCGATTTACCACTTGGAAGACCATTGTCTTCGCGATAAGACAACAAGAATTTGTGCTGAACAGCTATGATATGATCATAATTTAATTAATTTATCCTTTTCACGAAGTTCATAATCAAAAACAGTCATCAGTCATGGTAGGATTCGAACCATCGATTTACCACTTTGGGACCATTGTCTTCGCCAGAAGAATACAAGATCTTTTGCTGAACGGCTATGGTTATTTAATTTACTTTATCCTTTTCACGATGATTTTGATTTCATGATGATGATTTATTTTCTTGTCTAAAACACAGATAATTGTACCCATACCTTATATTCGTAGCTTTAACTTAATATGAACCATTCAACACGACGATCGCGTTCACCACAGCGCCAACAGATCTTGAAATAAACAGCTATATTTTTCTAACTTACCTAAATCTTCTCTTTTACGTAGTTCTTTCATTATTCAAGTTCATAATGAAAAACACATTCCTTTTCAACAACTACGGCGCCATAGTCAAAATTGCTAGTGGAGCCTCTTTCCTCGAAACAGGAAAGCAGAGCGAGAACCAAATCGCCGAAGGCTTAGTAGTTCATATATATGACATTGCTCTATATGGTGATTGTGGGATTATTATTCGTTTCCTGCGACTGCGCTGGGTTTCTTTATTCTAAATTTGACTCCTTATCGTTTTCCAATAGCGTTTAAGTATGTTTAACAACTGTAAAGTGTCCTTTTTTACTTACTGCATTAAGTGCATTTATTATAAGCTAAAACAGGTTGATTTAGTTAAGAAATGATGCGAATAAAGAACCTTCTTGATTCTTGATTCAATGCAATAGTACACATTGACATTGTCATTGCAACGCAACAAGTCTCTTTATTGAATTTTATAATAATCACAGAGATCTATGATTTTAATTGAAGAAAGAAAATGTTGGAAGTTCTAAAGAATGTCCATAAATTTTTCATTCTCATAAAAAAATCCATTTCACTTGCCTTTATATCCAAATTTCCATAACATATGGAAATTTCCATCAAAGTGGAAATCCTGCTCTGGAAATCTTGATTGAATTACATGGCAGAAATGTGATACGCGCACGCAATTTTAACACCACTGGCCAACACGAATGTCAGGACTCAGGAAAGAACAACATTCATCCAGTGCAAACTCGTTGGGATTAATTTTCCGCCGTAATATTCAAAGCAATTAGATTTATATTGTTTACCTTGAAGCACTTGAAGGTAGCTAATACACATTTTTTTCAGTGTTTCTCATGTAGTTTATATTATATACAGATTACACTTCTGTCAACTCCATGACTCGGTCGACCCTGGTATCAATATTAACTTTTCATTCTTCGTTCAGCACACGATTTTTCTTTATCGGTTTGTTCCCAGTATTGTTAGTATAGATTCCCAGTATAGATTTAAGATAAATACTTGAATTCTAATCCGAAGATAAACTGTATATAGTATACTTGACTATCATTGAATGCGACGGTATGTCGGTATAATTATAGTTGATCCATAGATGCGATCAGTCAAATAAATAATGCCTCTTACTGTGAAGTTAGCCGCGGATTCGGCCTCAGATTCGGCCTCAGATTGGGCCTCAGATTGGGCCTCACATTCAACTGTGTTCAATCATTCAAAAGTAGAATTTGGTCATTTAATAATAACAGGTTTTTTAGCCATTTTTTCGTTTAAACTTTAAAATTACGAAGATGTATAGCTTATTTATGCATTGCTAGACTGTAATTAGAACAAAGCAGTCGATTTTATACAGATTTACAGAGTAAATTGATTATTATTTTTGGGCACTGTGTGAGAAGTGATTGACCCGCATAGATATGGCATACACTATAATGTTTTATTTCAATTCCTGTGTATACGTCTATATTTTACAGAAAAATACGGCCTTACAAATGGCGTGCATCGTTGGGCTGCACAGTCACAACATACTCGGGATTATTTGCTTCCTTTCTCAAATTAAAAATGTCCTTATGATATAAATACAAAAGACTTAACTAGTATATGATCCTCTCACCGACGCTATCAATGTTACAATTTGCCAAAGTCATTTGCTACAACAAGAATTAGCGTAGATGTGCATACAAATCAAACGTACTATTGCCATATGACAAACAATGGTCCAACGAGGTTAGGATTACAAGTTAAACTCGGCGCAACTTTCGCACGCATATATAGATCGTTTCAAACGTTATTTAGAACAGTATTTTCCCATCTATCCAAAAGTACACATCAGTTGAAGACGCAGACGTTACACGCTGAATGTTTCAGGGCAACAGCAACGACTCATTGCAAAAACATCTTACAATATTACATGGTGTTGACATATATACCCACGTTATCATCCTAATTGTGCAATTTAAATTTATGCATTTCATACAAAATGCATGCCTATTCCATCCACTGCATTGAAGTTAAAACTTCTGTTTATATGAAGGTATGATTTCATTGTTCTACAAAATAATACAATGTGCTGTGCCGTGTTTTGATGCAGTTTGTAGCGCAGACGATGGAACCTGCGCTTAGGCATTAAGGGATTACTCAGAAGACAGAAGGTTGACGTGCTATTAAAATAAAGCAATTAAAACAGTGATGACATGTAAAATAGACGCACTTAAGCGAACAAAATGCGAAAGAAAGATGATCTCATTATGCCTGCTTAATTAAAAGACACATTTATTCAAGAGGATTAGACACATTAGAGATTAGACAATTATAATATTAGTTATGGTATCAAACTGAATATATAGCCAAAGATGCTCAAAATTTAACTGAAAGGTTTAATGAAGCAAAAAATCTACGTAAAAGATATATAAGATGCCATTATGCTAATCAAGAACAAGTTACAATCATAGAGGATGGTTTCTTATTAACTGTCCATACAAATGTTCTCAAATTTTAGTATTCAGTACATTACTGTATGATCTTTCTCATGACACCAACGTTTTTGCGGTAAAAAGAAAAAAAACGGGCGTTTTTGCGATACATTCCACTTCGATTTCTGACGTATTATTGCGTAATAACCAGATGACAGAAAAACTCAATTATTGTAATTCTGAAACATAAGTTGTAAAATGAAATATAATTTCCGATGGATAAATGAATGTCAAGACAGAATGAAGCAAAAAATCTATGTAAGAGATATATAAGGGGCTATTATACGAAAATCAAGATCAGGTTACAATTGAGAAAAGTACTTAATATTTAGAGGATGGTTTCTTATTAACTGTCCATACAAATGTTCTCAAATTTCAGTATTCAGTACATTACTGTACGATCTCTCTAATGACACCAACGTTTTTGCGGTAACAAGAAAAAAACGGGCGTTTTTGCGATACATTCGACTTCCATTTTTGAAGTATTATTGCGTAATAATAAGAGCGCAGAAAAACTAAACTATTGTAATTCTGAAACATAAGTTGTAAAATTAAATATACTTTCCAATGGGTACATGAATGTCAAGACAGAATGAAGCGAAAAAATCCATGTAAGACATATATAAGGCGCTATTATACGAAAATCAAGATCAGGTTACAATTGAGAAAAGTACTTAATATTTAGAGGATGGTTTCTTATTAACTGTCCATACAAATGTTCTCAAATTTTAGTATTCAGTACATTACTGTACGATCTTTCTAATGACACCAACGTTTTTGCGGTAAAAAGAAAAAAAACGAGCGTTTTTGCGATACATTCGGCTTCCATTTTTGACGTATTATTGCGTAATAATAAGAGCGCAGAAAACTAAACTATTGTAATTCTGAAACATAAGTTGTAAAATGAAATATAATTTCCGATGGATAAATGAATTTCAAGACAGAATGAAGCGAAAAAATCCATGTAAGACATATATAAAGTGATATTATACGAATCAAGATCAGGTTACAATTGAGAAAAGTACTTAATATTTAGAGGATGATTTCTTATTAACTGTCCATACAAATGTTCTCAAATTTTAGTTCAGTACATTACTGTACGATCTTTCTAATGACACCAACGTTTTTGCGGTAAAAAGAAAAAAAACGGGCGTTTTTGCGATACATTCGGCTTCCATTTTTGACGTATTATTGCGTAATAATGAGAGCACAGAAAAACTCAATTATTGTAATTTTGAAACATAAGTTGTAAAATGAAATATAATATCTAATGGATAAATGAATGTCAAGACAGAATGAAGCAAAAAAATCTATGTAAGAGACATAAAAGGGGCTATTATACGAATCAAGATCAGGTTACCATTGAGAAAAGTACTTAATATTTAGAGGATGGTTTCTTATTAACTGTGCATACAAATGTTCTCAAATTTTAGCATTCAGTACATTACTGTACGATCTCCCTAATGACACCAACGTTTTTGCGGTAAAAAGAAAAAAAACGGGCGTTTTTGCGATACATTCCACTTCGATTTATGACGTATTATTGCGTAATAACCAGATGACAGAAAAACTCAATTATTGTAATTTTGAAACATAAGTTGTAAAATGAAATATAATATCTAATGGATAAATGAATGTCAAGACAGAATGAGCAAAAAATCTATGTAAGAGACATAAAAGGGGCTATTATACGAATCAAGATCAGGTTACCATTGAGAAAAGTACTTAATATTTAGAGGATGGTTTCTTATTAACTGTCCATACAAATGTTCTCAAATTTTAGTATTCAGTACATTACTGTATGATCTTTCTGATGACACATACGTTTTTGCGGTAAAAAGAAAAAAACTCGGTTTTTTTTCGATAACTTGGACCCAAGTTTTTGACGTATTATTGGGTAATAATCAGTTCACGGAAGAACTAAACTATAGTGATTCTGAAGAAAAAGAAAATGTACTCTTTAATATAAATATAATATAATATATATAATATAATATATAATGTAATAGGTATATATTTATTCTTATACATAAATATATCGATTTATATTGATTCAATTATTCGGCGATCATAATAAAAATTCTTTCAATTGCGTTTTGTGAAATTGACATGGATATATTCTTGAAGTCATTTTACCCAGATCTGCAAGGATATCATTGATTACTGCATTCATTGCATTTTGTCTACCTGAAATATTAAGACACGAAGATACTGGGCAATTGGCATAAGCTGAAAATGATTTAAAACAAATTACAATATTTAATATTACATTACTTTTCTTACCGTGCTTTTTTGAATAACTCGTGTAGGTGACTAGATATGCTTTCCGCGGAAGAAAATTAGAACATAATAAGGTTTCTACCCAAATTAATCTAGAAAATATATGTATTGTATTTAGTTAGAGTTATATACGTATAAATGTATTGATGCCACTCTCCATTCTAACGACCTTTATGAGGATTCTAATTTTTTGCTTCATGCGCAGTAATGAATTTCCTTCAACAATTTAAATTTAAGAATCTGAATGCATATATAATTTATACATTTTACATTTCATTTGGAATCACCTGAAACATAGTATCTTCATTACGTATATTGCTGCAGAATTGTTGTGGCAGTTTCACTTTTAAATTAGCGCATTATTATCTCCGAGACCGATAGGTTCTTTATGCTTCACTTATCAAGGACAGATTTAAATTTAAATACCTAAGCCACCTAAAAAGAAATGAAATTATATAAAACGACGTACAATTTTTTCATATATACATATAAAGCATATACATGATTTACCTTATTATTGCATAGGTATTATTTTGATAGACAGTGCTTTACATCCATGCAGAGTTCCATGGGCATCCCTCACGCTTTCAAATATTTGCTCCATTTCACTTGTTTATATTACATTTACATTAAATTTAATAGTTATAACTCGAGCAACATATAGTTGTCCTCATATAATATTTTAATGACAGGCGTACGCGCCTATTTTTCTTTTTGGGAGGTGGGATCACGTACGCGTCTATTCTTTTATATCTCAGTAAAAAAAAGTTTTACAAATTTTGGCGAAAATTGGTAAAATCTGTGGTAAATTGCGACGATATTTGCCCAACGTTTATTTATTAAAATGTTTCTGGGGGAATAAGCGCGCCTCGTACGCCTATGATTTTCACATATAAGTTTTATTGAAGGGCGTAACTAGAACGATAATTGGGGAGGGGGGTATTAATTGATAAACAACACCCCTAATTATCGTCCTAGTTCCGCCGCCGATTGCTACAGTACTATAAGTTGCCAAAGCTGAATGCTAATTTCGGTGTGTGCATTGAAGTGGAATGT